ACAATGCAGTGGTGATCAAATGTTCATGAAGTGGTTCTTATGAGTGTGTTTATTTCACTTATTATCACTGAATGAGATTTCTGTAATTGATCCAGGTATTTTGCAGGTTAGCCTCTAACATGACTGGACATGGTTTTTTTTAACCAAGAACTGAAAAAACAACAACAGACACACGCATAAAGAAGAAAAAGAATAACCCACCCATACCTAGTCCCTAGTTCAAAAGTTACCAACCACCCTCTACTTTTCCTTTCAGAAACTTTTAAATAAACTGTCAAGTGCTGCCTATAGAGTCATAAAGGTAAAGGGACCCCTGACCATTAGGTCCAGTCGTGGCTGACCCTGGGGTTGCGGTGCTCATCTCGCTTTACTGGCCAAGGGAGCCGGCGTACAGCTTCCAGGTCATGTGGCCAGCATGACTAAGCTGCTTCTGGCGAACCAGAGCAGCACATGGAAACGCCGTTTACCTTCCTGCCAGAGTGGTACCTATTTATCTACTTGCATTCTGACGTGCTTTTGAACTGCTAGGTTGGCCGGAGCAGGGACCAAGCAACGGGAGCTCCCCCCGTTGCGGGGATTCGAACTGCCGACCTTCTGATTGGCAAGTCTTAGGCTCTGTGGTTTAACCCACAGCGCCACCTGCATCCCTATAGTGCCATATTAAGGGTGTTAAAAAGCCTATGTGAATGAATGGTAGAATACAGCATTTCGACAAATCATTAATCAGATGAAACCCAGCCTCGTGTTCATTCCACGAAATGACAGTGTGACTTATTCAACTTTACAGTAAACAGAGCCACTTCAAGATCAATATTTGGGTACCGTACCATTTCTGGAGTGGGGGCGTTGATGCAACCTTTTTCCATGGCGGGGGACTCTCCCACGGTGTTCCCTCCACTTGATGTGGGAGTAATGTTTTGCTTCTGTTCCACGGTAGGCGGAAGAACGAGAGGGAATCCTCTGTGCTCTTTCATTTTGAGTACTTTCAGTTTGAACTATGTAGGTTGTGCTTCTGTGCAATATGATTAAGCGGTCTTTCAACTGTGGATATTTTTGAAATGGATTTCCCTGAACGTGACCTTTTGAGATATATATGTATCTCATCAAAGCACTTTGTCCTGTGATTAAGGCTGTGGTTAATGTATCGTAGCACCAGTGAGTATCTTGACTATGGTGAGTACCTGAAGATTTCTTTTTTCTTTACTTCAGTTCTGCTTAGATACATAGTTTACACAGTTTTTCAAGTTTTTAAATATTTCTTTTATTTTTTAAAAAATATGCACCTTTACAAAAATTACTTATATATTTTAGTTTGAAAAATGCAGCACTCAAAAATCCATGCATCATTTTCTGATCATTGGTTGGTCCTGATAAGATATTATTTCATTTTGTTTGTGAGTTACTTATTAGCTAGATTTTCAGTTTCTTCTCTTTTTTCCTTTCAGACCTTTGTATGAATATGGTCAAGGAATATCAGCAGATATGCATCTCTGTAGAAGCTGTTGTGTAGACAGTTTTTAGGATCAAACAAAACTTAGTATAATGATTATCCCAAACATATAAACCATAATCAAATAGAGTTAGGTGCACTTGTTGTTAAATCCTATGTATACCATAGGTAATACATATTACCTATGTACATACAGTACATACAGTACATACAGTAAAACCTATTGGGTTCAGTGGGGATTACTCTCAGGTAAGTGGGTATCAAATTGTAGCCTTAAACCATTGGAGCCATAGTTCCAGTTCTATAGGTCTTTACTTAGACGTAAGACCAACTGTGTTCAGAAAATTGCAGCTTCGCTCTGTATTGGATTATGGCCATTAACTTGGAAGGTATTTGCACTCATATAAACATAATTGACTGCAAAGAGAGTGTGCTTAAAATTGCATCATAAAACACATGTAATACCTGCTGGAGATGAGTTAGGAGGATAAGCAAGTTGACTGTATTTTGTTCAATAAACCATCACACTAGTAAAAATCAGCTGAGCCCCTAGGTTTTAATTAGCTGAAATCCAAACAGTTCAGATTGTTTGTTGACTGTGGCTCTTCATTTGTTGCTTTTAAACAAATAACAATAATGGTTTATTATTATTAATAATATAGTAAAAATGTCAGTAATGTGGTTTTTGTTTTTGGTTGCTACACTTATTAGCTAGTATGTAATTTTAAAAACTTCATCCTGGATTTTTTGGCTAAATTGTGTGGCATTTCTCATAAGTCATATTCTCAAGGAAGTCAGCTGTCATTTCTTTTTGTCTGCTTGACAAAAAGATTTTAAACATAGTTTTCATTACATTACTTCACCAGAAAATAGTTTTAAACCTTTGCACATTTTAAAGTAGCTAAAATCAGCTCCCTATTATATATGAGGCAAGGACTATCCTGGGGTTGATTTTCATGCTACAGTAATTGTATTTCACGGACCGCTCTGAGAACTTCACAAACAGTATATCAGTAATCTCTACTAACAATAATTAAGGCATGAATGTAGAATTATGCCCATATAATAATGTGGGGTGATGCTGAGTGGTTTGCTTTATAGCTGGAGAAGGAGGCAGAATTTGAATGGGGAACTTTCTGATTATTTTAGCCAGTGTGCTGCACAAGCACACATACCCTTAACCTGCATATGTCCCACTTGACCACTTGGATCTGTGGAACTGACAGGGAGCTGCCACATAATACTTCTTGTGCCTTTGTAATAAAATGCCACATTTAGTGTGGCAGCACCAAACTCCGGAATTCCCTGCCTATTGGCATCAACCACGTTCTTTCACCGTATTCTTTTCATGCCTGCATAAAACATTTTGTGTGTGTAGGCAACACTATCCAGACATGTAGAATGCTGACGTGTATTATAATCTCTATTTTTGCATACTGTTTATTTTCACTGTCTTTTGAATGCTTTTTCAATATCTCATTTTTAACTGTCTTTTATCAATCATATTATTATTATTATTATTATTATTATTATACACTTTCAACCAAGCAGTATGTAAATGTTGCAAAATAAAAACAAAACAAAGTGGTTTTCAAATCATAAAAATAGCAAGGTGTGCAAATATACAGTGATATCAGGGCCATTCCAGAGTGGGGTCCAAGGCAAATCACACTGTGTACCTCCCCATGCATTCATCTCTCTCCCCCACCCACCGCCACCTCTACTATCCCTCATCCTTTTCATGGCTATGGTAGTGACAGAAACTTACTTTCTGTTGTGTTATTTTGGGGAGCTTGCAAAACTTTAGTAATTCTGGCCTCTGTTCTCCTTCTTCTTTACATTTTGTGCACTGCTTTAGCTGAGGCAGGTCTACCAAGGCCTTCTGCTTCATCTCTCCATGGCTTGATCTAGGAAGAAAGGCAGTGGAGGGTCTCATCATGTGGGTGGGAGCAGCCGGGCTGGCCAGGGAGCATGGCACAGATCCCAAGGTGGCTGCCCCTATTTGAATCCCCAGGAATGGATGGGGATGGAGGAGCAAAGGGTTCTCTCCCTCAGTGCAGTACAAAATCATGTCGCAAGAAGGTAGAAAAAGATTACACCTGTATTATCCCCTCATCACACATTTTTAATCCCAGTTCCTTTCATCACTGTTTTGATTGAGAAGTGGTGCAATTTAATGTGATTTTGCACTAAACTTTCAAGGCAATATTCCTGACTGGGGACGAGACGGTGTTCACATCAAATGTGCCAGCAGGATAACAAGACCAGACGAGATGTACTTTAGACATGTACAGGAAGACTTTAAAAGCAGAACCCTGTATACAAGAGTTATTCTGGCTTGAAAAGTATACGTACATCTTACTAACAATCTTGTGATCTAGTTGTTTATCATTCTCTTGTTTTTGTGGCTGTAGCAGGATTGCCTTTTTGTCTTCTTCTTTGACTTTTAAAGTCCTGCAAAAAGCCTTGGAAAAAAACCCATGTCTTTCTAACAAAATAAAGAAAATTCTTCCAGTAGCACCTTAGAGACCAACTAAGTTTGTTATTGGTATGAGCTTTCGTGTGCATGCACACTTCTTCAGATACCAATAACAAACTTAGTTGGTCTCTAAGGTGCTACTGGAAGGAATTTTTTTATTTTGTTTTGACTTTGGCAGACCAACATGTCTACCTACCTGTACCTATGTCTTTCTAACATTAGCACTAATCTCAGGTTGCTCACCAGGGCAAGACAGTTTGAGTGTATAACACAAATCATGGCCTGGCTGCACTGGCTGCCGATTAGTTTCTGGACCCAATTCAAAGTGCTGGTTTTGACCTATAAAGGCTTAAATGGCTCAGGACTGCAATAACTCAAGGACTGCCTCTCCCTGTGTGAACCAACACAGATCCTGCAATCATCATTGGGGGCCCTTCTTCATCTGTCCCCCCCCCCCCCCGTGAGAAGTCCGAAGGGTGGCAACACAAGCCTTTTCTGTGGTGGCTCCCCATTTGTGGAATGCACTCCCTGGAGAGGCTCGCTTGGTGCCAGCATTATATATCGTTAATTACCAGACCTTGGGCTAATTAAACAATATATGAACTTTTAAACTGTGTTTAGGGGGGTAGTGTTTCTGTTTATTACAGTGGTACCTCGGGTTACATAAGCTTCAGGTTACATATGCTTCAGGTTATAGACTCCACTAACCCAGAAATAGTACCTCGGGTTAAGAACTTTGCTTCAGGATGAGAACAGAAATCATGCTCCGGCAGTGCGGCTACAGCAGGAGAACCCCATTAGCTAAAGTGGTGCTTCAGGTTAAGAACTGTTTCAGGTTAAGAACGGACCTCCAGAATGAATTAAGTACTTAACCTGAGGTACCACTGTACTATGTTAGGGTTTTTTGTGTGTTTTATATTGTAAACCACCATGTGATTCTCAGATGAAAGGCAGTATAGAAAGTAAGTAAGTAAGTAAGTAAGTAAGTAAGTAAGTAAGTAATTAAATAAACCCTCTCCCCCTTTTTTTAATTATTAGAGTGACCAGGAAGGCTCTTGGAGGTTTCTTGATATGCATACCGGTCATCCATCGGATTCAGAAAGGTATTAACAGATCTACACATTTTATTTCGCTTTTTGGTGAAGACTTGTGATACCTCAAATAAACTGAAACTGCTCAATTTTTATTTTTTTTTATAAAAAAATAGTAATCATTCTATTATGGCTCAAGCTGGCAAATATTCTAAAGCCTGAACTATCAGATGTTAGTGAAACTAGATTAACTGCAACAGGTGCCAAGAAGTGGATGGATTCTGCACAATCTATCAGTGAAATAAAAGAGAAACAAAACTAATGTAAGCGTGTGATTGAAAGACACCAGTTCCTGATTTATCAGCTTCCAAGACTGCAGTGCGCAAAGTACGTGTGCCAATGTGCTTAATCCTGTCTATTCACATTTGAAGTGACATGTAGCCTGATCCCGGGCAAGTTTTCTTGGTGTTAGCCTCCACTGAACTCAGTGGGATTTTATTCCAAAATAGCTTTGTGCAGGATTACAGCCTAAGTGATGTTCATCAGATTATATATTTGAGATGCATGGGCATGTGAGATTTGAACCAATTGTCAAGGTGACTTCATGGCAGGGGGCTCCTCATTGGATGACAGCAGCTTCAAATCACTAGCCCAAAAGCACTTCTTAGATCACTTTTTGGGTTTCCCCTCCATCTTAGTTTTCCATTATCTGTGAACAGATTCTCTTCCCTGACTGCTTTCATCATATATGGAGATCTGAAGCAGCTCTAATTTGCTTGTTTGTTGCTGTTGTTTAGACATTTAGTCATGTCCGACTCTTCGTGACCCCATGGACCAGAGCACGCCAGGCACTCCTGTCTTCCACTGCCTCCTGCAGTTTAGTCAAAAATTTGCTTGCTTAGATATCTGCATTAGTGATTCAATTTTTCCACACTCCTGAATATGTAACACCTCATTGGCATGGCAAAATTAGGCCCCCATCAGTTAGCACCTCTCAAGAAGACTTTCAGGAAACATTCATAATTGTTTTGTAGCTTAAGATGAGAGCAAGAGGTAATTATTTTGGATGGGCACAGTTGTTTCTGACTGGCTTATTCACTGTGAATTATGACTATTTTAGTCATAATAGTCATAATTCTGTAAAACAGATCATAAACAAGGCAAAAAATTATGTTTATTTATGTTTATTATTTTATTAGAATGATTTACCATACCTTTCTGCTAATACAGCAGTCAAGGCACCAACCACCACATTATTAATTTTAAAAACATACAATAAAAAAAATAAAAAATAAGAGAGGCAACATTCATGTTATTGTGAAATTATCATCCCTGCTGGAAATAACAAATGTCAGGTGGTATTGTGAACATGTGCCCTGCCTCTAAAGTATCATGAGGAAGAAGAAAACTGTTCTACGTTGCATTGCCTTAAGTTGTGATGGAAATATAAACTCACTCCAAGAACATGTATGAATATCCATTTATTTATTTTTTTAAAATCTAGAAAAATGTTAAAAAAGGTATTTCAGAATAAACTCAACATATTCCAGCAAAGGTCAGCCAGAGAAGATTAAAAATAGCTTCTAAAACTGATAAAAACAAGAGAGATCAAGAAGGAAGAGTCCTTGCAGACCACAATGCAGGAATCCCCCTACTGTGGAGTGAACTGTCTATCACCACTCCTGTAGAAACTTCAGATAAAGGTCAAGGCTTAGACTGCATACACATTCCCATTAACTCTGCATTCATTGCACTTCACTGCTGTTTTGGGAAAGCAGTGCACACAGGACACTAGCCACCACCTATATTAATCCTGTGTAATATAGCCTGTCATCTCATATGATTTCCCAGCCTCAAAGTAGTCCAATGTAGTCCTTTTCTTGCTCTTCTATGCATAGTTCCTTTAGACGGCAGGAGCCACAGCAGCTATAGCAACAGTAGGCATGCACTGAGCAAATGTGCACAAATGAAGGCTATTTCTTTTGGATGGAAAAATGCAGCTCTCAGTGTCTCAGAATTCAATACACCTTGGTTATTTGCCACTGCCCCAGGCCACAGCAGAGGGAAAAAGCTCTTTGGCTCCTACTGTCATTTCTTCTTCTTCTTCTTCTTCTTCTTCTTCTTCTTCTTCTTCTTCTTCTTCTTCTTCTTTCTATACCACCTTTCAGCTGAGGCTTACAGGGCAGTTTAGATTATAAAAACCACAAAAAACAACATAGTAACAAACAAAAACAATAGCCCCTTCCCCACAGTTAAAAAGGCCATAGGTTGTTTGATTAGCTAAAGGCCTGGGAGAGGAGGCATGTTTTTGCCCGGTGCCTAAAGATATGTAATGAAGGCACCAAGAAAGCTTCCCTGCAGAGAGCATTCCACAAACAGGGAGCAACCACAGAAAAGGCTTGTTCTTGTGTTGCCACCCTCCAGACCTTTTGTGATGAAGGCACACAAAGAAAGGCTTCAAATGATGATTGCAGGATCCAGGTGGGTTCATATGGAGAGAGGCGGTCCTTGAGGTATTGTGGTCCTGAGCTGTTTAAAGCTTTATAGGGCAAAACCAGAACTTTGAATTGGGCCTGGAAACTAACTGGCAGCTAGTACAGCTGTGCCAGGATTGGTGCTGCATGCTCAAACTGGCAAGGAAGTAGGCCACTGAATTCTGTACCAGTTGAATTTTCTGAACCATCAGCAGCCCCACGTATAACACATTGCAGTAATCTAACCTAGAGGTTACCAGGGCATAGACAACAGTACTTAGGCTATGGAAACCATATATTTCCATGAAGAGCATGTTTTCTTTTGTTGTTAGTCATATGGCTCTTGAAAATTAAGCCGAAGCTATTAGGAAGCAACTGGTTCAGTCCATATTAACAGCACTGTTCTATTCCAAATGTGTCATTTCACAGCTAAACAGCTGCTGACGATTAACTGTTCTTTAAAAGCGTCATTCCCTTTTTTCATAAGGGGAACAGAAGCATGGAGGCGTTTATAGGGTTGAAACAGGACTGAATGAAACCTGCACTTATTTTCTCTTTGTTGTGCAGATCACATTCTTAATTGCCACCCTACTTCTCCAAGCAGTGAGAAGTTCTAGGGGTCCAGCATTTGGTTTCCTTTCCAAGGAGGCCACTGGAAGCTTATGGACATTTGCAGTATTTCCACTTGTTTGGTTGAGTCTAGGTGGAGGAACACAGCCTAGAAGCTTTGACATCCAGCCGAAGGCTACTAAAACAGCTAGCACCCAAAAATACTGTTAGCTTACAGATTCCAAAATACAGCTCTTTGCCTTTATCTGCCTCTCTCAAACTGCAGTCTGTTTCCTTCCAGACAGGCTGAGTACACACAATAATTTTAAGTACATCCCGTGTTTAAGAATTGTGGTAACTGTACTTCACCCCCCACAGAGCTACAATTCACAGCACCCTTAATAAACTACAGTTCCCAGGATTCTTTGTGTGTGTGTGGAGGGGTGGGTTTTAAATGTATGGAGTGTTCACAGCCATAGAAGCACATTGTCCCCTCTCCCTGGCTGGATTTGAAGCAGGAGATCTGGATCAGCCATCTTCTCTGACCATCACCTAGCTTCTTGGGTCATTTTAGCTTCCATGGAGACACATCACAGGACTATCAACAATATTTGGTCAGTTCTAAGAAAATCAGTAACACAGACACAACTGTTCTCATAGAATAGAATCATAGAATCATAGAATCATAGAGTTGGAAGAGACCACAAGGGCCATCGAGTCCAACCCCCTGCCAAGCAGGAAACACCATCAGAGCACTCCTGACATATGGTTGTCAAGCCTCTGCTTAAAGACCTCCAAAGAAGGAGACTCCACCACACTCCTTGGCAGCAAATTCCACTGTCGAACAGCTCTTACTGTCAGGAAGTTCTTCCTAATTGTGCTGGTCCCGGGGGTAAGGTACCTTGGGTGTAGCAGAGTCCACACGAAGAGGGGCAAGGTCCGAGGCAGAGAGCCGGGCGGGGAACAGGAATGCTGGAACAGGAGGCTGTGCAGGGAACAGGAACACCGGATGGTCGGGAACAGGAGGCCGAGCAGGGAACAGGAGTACCGGATAGTCAGGAACAGGAAGCCGAGCAGGGATCAGGAACACAGGAAGGTCCGAAGCCAACAACGACGTTGCTCCCGCAACCTGGGGCCGGGCTGACTGGGCTTTTATCCTCTTCTAAGGCCAGGGGCGGTCCCGGTCCCCAGGAGCCCCGCCTCCTCTGGCCTTAAGGCGAGCACTCCTCCTGGGGGCAACCAGTTCCCTTCGCCTCTCTGCCCTAAGCCTCTGCAGATCAGGAGAGGCCGAAGGGTTACTGGGCCCTGGAGGAGGCTCACCTGTGGCCACTGAGTCATCAAGCCCCTCTGGGGCCCGAAGGAGCTTCACCTGGGGCCAGCTCCTGATGCACTGCCACAGGTGCAGGCTCTTCAGCATCAAGGCCTTGCCCCAGTTCAGCCGGCCCTGGAGGCGGGGACTCCTGTGCAGGCCGGGATTCCTCTGTTTCATCCTCCGAATCGGAATCCCAGGCCATCACACCATCCCCCTCCCAGGCCCCCCCCTCAACCGAGGGTCCGGACCCGGCTTGCCGGGATACGTCGCATGGAACTCTCGGAGGCAGGCAGGTGCATGGACATTGGCCGCTGGTTCCCAGGAACGGTCCTCCGGTCCGTACCCCTTCCAGTCAATGAGATACTGCAGCTTTCCCCTGCGGTATCGGGAGTCCAGGATGCGTTCCACCTCGTACTCAGGCTCTCCCGAACCAACACTGGCTGCGGTCGGGGACGGTTCTGGTGGAACTCGTCGGGTGGGGCCACCGGACTCAAAAGGGACCTGTGGAAGACCGGGTGAACCTTCAGGGTTGCGGGTAACCGGAGACGGAATGCCACAGGAGAGATTTGGTCTACGATAGGGAACGGGCCGGTGAGCGGGCGTCCAACTTCCGCGAAGGTCGAGAGGGGTGGAGGTGGCGAGTGGAGAGCCAAACCAGGTCACCGACGCGAGTTCCGGCCCCACCTGGCGGTGGCGGTCGGCCTGGGCTTTGTACGCTTCCTTGGCCTGGTGCAGTTGCTCCACCAAAAGCTGTTGCTGGGACTGGAGCTCTTGAAGCCACTCCGTCACCGCCGGGACCGCGGATGCCGGCAGCACCTCTGGAAACAGCCGTGGATGATAACCATAACTGGCCTGGAGCGGGGTCTGCTGGGTGGACGCATTCACCGCGTTGTTATAGGCGAACTCCGCCAATGCCAGGTGGTCGACCCAGTCATCCTGCTGGTAGCTGCAGTAACACCGGAGGTACTGCTCCAGCACCGCGTTCGCCCGTTCCGTCTGGCCATCGGTCTGTGGGTGGTAGGCTGACGAGAGGCAGACCTCTGTCCCGAGGGTCTGGTGTAATGCTCGCCAGAACCGGGATGTGAACTGAACGCCCCGGTCGGACACCACGCGCTCAGGTAGACCATGCAGGCGGAAGACATGCTGAAGGTACAGCTGAGCAGTTTCCTTGGCTGTGGGTACAGATGGACAGGGAGCGCAGTGCACCATCTTGGTGAAATGGTCGGAGAAAACCAGAAGGCAGGTACAGCCACGAGACGAGGGTAAGTCCACTACAAAGTCCAACGAAACTGTGTGCCAAGGGCGCGGTGGAACTGGCAATGGCTGAAGTAGGCCGGGGGTCGCCCGGTAGGCCCCTTGGCGCGTCGGCAGACATCACAACCAGCAACGTAGCGAGCCACGTCAGCCTTCAGGCGGGGCCACCAAAACTCACGACTGACCAGATGGGTGGTCCGATACCGTCCAAAGTGCCCCGCTGCCGGGGCATCATGGGCCATCCGGAGAACCTCCAGCCGCAGTGGCCCTGGCGGGATGTACAGACGACCGTGGTGCAGCAGGAGGCCCTGATGCAGGACCAGCCCCGGATACTGTGGGCTGGACCCTTCAGCCAGCTCCCGGAGTCGTTCCTGGGCCCAAGCGTCGACCCGCTGCTGTTCCCGCACCCGAACCTGCAGTGGCTGCGCCTCCTGGGTGGCCAGGAATGCGGCCGGAGGTAGGATCGTGGCGGGTTCTGCTTGCTGTACCGTGTCTGCGTTGTCTTCAGGTTTCCGGGACAGGGCATCCGCCTTCAGATTCTGAGAGCTAGGGATGTAGCGGATCCGAAACTGGAACCGGGAAAAGAACAACGCCCACCGGATCTGTCTTTGGTTCAGCTTGCGGGTGGTCTGGAGGTACTCCAGGTTCCGGTGGTCGGTTCTTACCTCCACCGGATGTCGTGCCCCCTCAAGATGGTGGCGCCAGACCTCAAAGGCTACCTTGATGGCCAGTAGTTCCCGCTCCCACACAGTATAGTTACGCTCCGCTGGTAGGAGCTGGCGGGAATAGAAGGCACAGGGTAAGAGTGGCGCTTCGGGCCCAATCTGTTGAGACAAGACGGCACCGAGAGCCGTACTGGAGGCGTCGGTCTCCACCACAAAGGGTCGAGAGGGGTCAGGATGTTGTAAGATTGGTGCCCTCTGGAAACAGGCCTTCAACCCCTGAAACGCCTCCTCTGCCTCCTTGTCCCAGGAAAACGGCGTCTTTGGGCGCAGTAGCCGGGTCAACGGGGTGGTGCGATGAGCATAATCAGCGATGAAGGTCCGGTAGTAATTGGCGAACCCCAGGAAACGTTGTAGGTCCTTGCGGTTCCGGGGTGCCGCCCATTCTTGAACCGCTGTCACCTTCCCGGGTCCATTTGCACCCCATCCGGAGAGAGCCGGTGACCAAGGAAGTCCACAGTCCGCTGATGGAACTCGCACTTGCTGAGCTTTGCGTACAAACGGTGCTCACGCAAGCGCTGCAGCACGGTCCGGACATGTCCCTCATGGCGAGCCGGGTCACGGGAGTAAATCAGTATGTCATCCAAATACACCACCACGTACTTGTCTAACAAGTCCTGAAACACGTGGTTGATGTAGCGTTGGAACACAGCAGGCGCGTTGCACAACCCGAAAGGCATAACCAAATATTCGAACTGCCCGTACCGGGTCCCAAACGCTGTCTTCCACTCATCCCCGGCTCGGATCCGAATCAAGTTGTAGGCCCCCCGGAGGTCCAGCTTGGTGAACACCTGTGCCCCTTGCACCCGCTCCAGCAGCTCCGAGATAAGGGGCAAGGGGTATCGGTCTGGGACGGTAATTTTGTTCAAGGCTCGGTAATCATGGCAAGGGCGGAGTTCCCACATTTCTTCTTAACGAAAAGCACTGGTGCCGCGGTAGGCGAGGTGGACGGCCCTAATGAACCCACGCTCCAGGTTCTTGCGCAAGAAGTCCTGCAAAGCCTCGCGCTCTGGCTCTGTTAGAGAATATAAGCGACTCACTGGTAGAGGCGCTCCGGGTTGGAGGTCTATGCCGTAGTCAAAGGCCGATGCGGCGGCAGCTGGTCTGCCCCCGTTCCTCGAACACGTCCTGGTAGTCCTGATACACGGCTGGGAGCGTGGGTGCTGCCTCCTCTGAGGGCGCGGCCGCCAGCGTCCCGGATTGAGCATGGGAACATGGGTCTGGGAAGTGCACGGTCCGTTTGACCCAGTGAATCTGAACGTTGTGGGCTTCCAGCCAGTCCATCCCGAGCACCAGGGGAAGCGGGGCATAGAGGCAATGTCCAAAGTTCGCAACTCCCGGTGCTGCTGGAAACACAGGACCAGGGGCTGGGTCTCCTGAGTAACGGCACCTGAACACAGAAGTCGTCCGTCAATCGCTTCCACCTGGACCGGTACTGGCTTGTTCCAGTGGCACCTGATGATGGGCGGCAAAAGCAGCGTCCATATAAGAGCGGGTTGCCCCTGAATCCACCAAAGCATGGGTGGGGATCCAGGGCCCACCTGGAGGGTATAAACGTACCGGAACCATAAGATGTTGCGAGTCCATTGATGCAGGCCCATTCTGCGCGGTTTGGGACCCCGGCAGCTAGGGCCATCAGCTACTGGGGTTGGCGGTTTCCCTGCGGCTGGCGTTTCTCAGGGCAAGACCGAGCGAAGTGTCCACTTCCGCCACAGTAAAGACAGAGATTTCCCTCCCGACGCCGCGCCTTCTCTGCGGGGAAAGGCGTGGCCGCACTGCCCCGAGCTGCATAGGCTCCTCCGTTAAATCAGTTGTGACCGTGGGGCTGCCGGAAAAAGCTGGTGCCGTGAACTGGAAGTGTCGGCGACCCGGGCCTGACGACGATCCTCCAACCGGTCGTCTATTTGTAGACTCCGTTGAATGAGAGTGTCTAGCGTGGTGGGGCGTTCCATTGTGGCCAACTGGTCCAGTACCTCGTCCGAAAGCCCTTCGAGATACTGGTCCCGCAGTGCCGAATCATTCCAGGTCAAGTCCTGTGCCAACAGCCGAAACTCCGTGGTATATGCGGCCACCGTGGACTTGCCCTGTTTCAAACGCCGAATCGCCCGGTTGGCTTGACTCCCTTTCTGGGGGTTGCCGACGCGGCCTCCAAACGATTGCAAAACCCCGTATAGTCTGCCAGCAAGGGGAGTCTTGCCTGAGTAGCGGCAACGCCCACTTGGCCGCCTGGTCCTTTAACAAACTAATCAAAAAGTGCACCTTGGTGCGGTCGTCAGGAAAGTTCCGGGCTCGCCCCTGAATATACAGCTTGGCCTGGGCCAGGAACATGGGAAAGCTGGCCGGGGCTCCATCAAATTTCTCAGGCAAAGCCACTGGGTACTTGCCAGGAGCCGAGGCGTCGGCCCCAGGAGCCGGTAGGGCTTCCAAGCGTTGTTGAAGTGCCACAACCGCGTCACTGAGCTGCTGCACGGTGTGAGTCAAGGCCTGGTTCTTCTGGGCCAAAGCCACCAGTGCAGCCGCCTGGTCAGCCATGGCCTCTGGCTCTTCCCGAACGCACCCCTACGAAGGGGAGTGCGGGTTTGGCGGGAGCAAACTGTGCTGGTCCCGGGGTAAGGTACCTTGGGTGTAGCAGAGTCCACACGAAGAGGGGCAAGGTCCGAGGCAGAGAGCCGGGCGGGGAACAGGAATGCTGGAACAGGAGGCTGTGCAGGGAACAGGAACACCGGATGGTCGGGAACAGGAGGCCGAGCAGGGAACAGGAGTACCGGATAGTCAGGAACAGGAAGCCGAGCAGGGATCAGGAACACAGGAAGGTCCGAAGCCAACAACGACGTTGCTCCCGCAACCTGGGGCCGGGCTGACTGGGCTTTTATCCTCTTCTAAGGCCAGGGCGGTCCCGGTCCCCAGGAGCCCCGCCTCCTCTGGCCTTAAGGCGAGCACTCCTCCTGGGGGCAACCAGTTCCCTTCGCCTCTCTGCCCTAAGCCTCTGCAGATCAGGAGAGGCCGAAGGGTTACTGGGCCCTGGAGGAGGCTCACCTGTGGCCACTGAGTCATCAAGCCCCTCTGGGGCCCGAAGGGCTTCACCTGGGGCCAGCTCCTGATGCACTGCCACAGGTGCAGGCTCTTCAGCATCAAGGCCTTGCCCCAGTTCAGCCGGCCCTGGAGGCGGGGACTCCTGTGCAGGCCGGGATTCCTCTGTTTCATCCTCCGAATCGGAATCCCAGGCCATCACACTAATGTTTAGGTGGAATCTTCTTTCTTGTAGTTTGGATCCATTGCTCCGTGTCCGCTTCTCTGGAGCAGCAGAAAACAACCTTTCTCCCTCCTCTATGTGACATCCTTTTATATATTTGAACATGGCTATCATATCACCCCTTAACCTCCTCTTCTCCAGGCTAACCTCATATCACCCCTTAACCTCCTCTTCTCCAGGCTGCTCTAGTAGACAGGAGTAGACCTAGGCTGTGTACACATTTAAAGCACATTCCTTCCCTGCAATAATGATTGGTACTGTAATTTATGTCTCACAGAGTTACAATTCCTAGCAACCCTTAACAAGCTACCATGTCCAGAATTCTTAGAGGGAGAGAATGTGCTTAGAATGCGCTTTAAAGGTATAGTAGGACATAGCCCTAAAGGGCTTACATTACAGGAGGGTTGATGTTGGTTGAACACTAGGAGCAACTTTTTGATGGAAAGAGCAGTCCAACATTGGAAGCAATCACCTAGGGAGGTGGCAGGTGAGCTTCCTGCTACTGGATGGCTTCAAGCAGGCTGAATAGCCATCTGTTGAGGAAGCTCTAGTTCTGGATTTCCTGTCTCAAACAAGGGGTTGGACTAGAATGGCTTACAATTCTTCAAGGCAGGCAACCACAAATCTGTTTTGTTCTATGTCCCACCGCCACCGCCACCACTGTAATAACAGCTTCAAGAATCCTTTGCCTGAAATACCCACCCACGGTGACAAAAGCATGTGTCAGGCCCCTTGCCTCTGGAATTAATTTCCTCTCAAGATGAGACACAGTTAGGGTGGGTAAGGCTGTATGCCCTCTTTAGAAGCCCTTGTTCATCATTAAACCTTGTGGTACTTCATGAGTGAGCTGATCACAAGGATGGCACAGAACAAGTTTTTCCCATTTCCTATTTGAACAGAGCTGTCTCTGTGCAACCAAGCTCCATTTATATCCCAGCTTTTCTCCAGAGTGTGTAAGATAGTATATACAGTCTACCTCCATTTTGTCTTCCCAGGAACCAGGGCAGAAAAGCGGGTATTGAGAACAGTGGTCAGATTCTAGAAGGCCAGGGCTCATTCTCTCATGTGGAAACCCTTTACCCTTATCCTAGGCATGTAGGACCTCTGCATATTTACCCAATGGTAAAGTAACTCAATTGTTACTGTGGTTTTATAATTTATTGGAAGCTGCCCAGAGTGATGATGATGATGATTATTATTATATTACACCCCTCCCTATATTCTTACTTAATATGTTCCAGATTTAACACCTTGCTTTGAAAATTGATATTGAAGCTAACCCCAGATGAGTCATGTCACCAGTTAAGTCCTGGCAGGGGGCACAGTCCAAATACATTTAGCAATTGTTCTCTACCTTAAGGATGTTATCAAAATTAAGTGGTGGGGAGAAATCTATAAAGATAACTTAGTCCATTGCACTTTAAATCATGGGTAGGTTATGGTTATGATTACAATTACAATTAGGTTGTGTTCTCCAAATTAAGGTGGGCTATGTTAGTAGCAGCAGCACTGTACTCAGCTTGTTCCTATTTGTTTTTGGGAGGAGGAGAAAGCCAGAGAGAAAACAAGGGTGGGGGACGAGAGAGAGAGAGAGAGAGAGAGAGAGAGAGAGAGAGAGAAATGACTCATATTGTTTGGGACTAAAGGTGGGTGGAAGTCTATTGGCTTTAACCAGAGCACTTGCAAGATTTTCTGCACTCAGCAATCTTCACAGATGACCTTAGGCTGTATGAATAGCTAAAGATAAAGATTCTATTTTGCCATTAATCTGCAGGAAAATGTCATTGTTTCTTTGGTTCATTCACACAGCTGCACCTTTGAGGTGTAGCAGTTTGAAATGTAACTTCAGTTATACACCCCTGGATACTCTTGCCACTTCTCTTGCAAGGTTGCTGTCAACTCTTCTTATCTCAGTGCAGATCTGAGGTTTAGATTCCAGTTCACACGTTTCTCCGTGCAGCAAGCACACACTCAGGTGGAGGTAGGGCTTCACCCAGATGCCTGCCTTTGCCTGAAGCGATAATGTCAGGTTGTAACAGTATTACTCAGATGGAGGTTGCAACTTTAATAAGCAGCCACTGTGGGAAATCACCTTCCTAGAGTGGAACTGTGTACACACTGTGATGTGCATGTTTTATAAAATGGACAAACTTTTTAATTCAGATTTATAATATTTTCAGTGAATAAAAATCTGTATCACTCCTGGCAAGAACATTTCCTGTTACCTTTCTTGTTGATAAAGCAGGCAGTGTATGCACCTGGCAGCAGTAGCAGTGGCCTGCGTTGTTTTATTGCTTGTTGTGCTGGCCAAAAGCAGCTGAGAGCTAAGACTCGTGACCTCCCGGATGTAAGAACCTGGTCACTTGTCTTCTGTGCCATTGCCAGAACAACCTCAAATTCACTTGCAGACGAGTCACTGAAGAGATTTCTAATATATTTGCAAATACGTGTCCAAGTAAGTCCATTGATCTCAGTGGGACATTCATCTGTCTACGTTTGCACTGGATTGCACCTTTACTAGCTCTAACCTACACAGGGTGCCATGGCACTTCCTCTACATCTGCCAAAAAGCACCATGTGGCAGGCAGGCAGGCAGGCAGGCAGGCTTTCCCCAGCACTTGTGACACAGTCACAGGGACGTAGAGTGCTCCAAGATGTCCACTCAGTACTGTAAATGTTGAGACCTTGCAAATGGGTCAGTTGCAATATTTTAATTTTTCCTTAACTTTTCACATTTCTTCAGGACATGGACACATAGCAACATAGGAAGCTGTGTTATTCCAAGTCAGTCTGTTGGTCCATCTAGCTCTGTATTATCTGTGCCCAGGGCAGCTGTCTACCAGCTCCATCTGGTATGCAGGCTGAGACCCTACCTGCCCGTGGACTGTCTTGCCAGCGTGGTGCATGCTCTAGTTATCTCCCGCTTGGACTACTGCAATGCGCTCTCCTTGGGGCTGCCTTTGAAGGTGACCCAGAAACTACAACTAATCCAGAATGCGACAGCTAGGCTGGTGACTGGGGGCGGCCGCCGAGACTACATAACACCAGTCTTGAAAGATCTACATTGGTGCCCAGTATGTTTCCGAGCACAATTCAAAGTGTTGGTGTTGACCTTTAAAGCCCTAAATGGCCTCTGCCCAGTATACCTGAAGGAGTTTCTCCACCCCATCGTTGTACCCGGACACTGAGGTCCAGCACCAAGGGCCTTCTGGCGGTTCTCTCACTGCAAGAAGCAAAGCTACAGGGAACCAGGCAGAGGGCCTTCTCGGTAGTGGAGCCCACCCTGTGGAACACCCTCCCACCAGATGTCAATGAGATAAACAACTACCTGACATTTAGAAGACATCTGAAGGCAGCCCTGTTCAGGGAAGTTTTTAATGTGTGACATTTTAATGTATATTTAATCTTTGTTGGAAGATGCCCAGAGTGGCTGGGGAAAGCCAGCCAGATGGGTGGGGTACAAATAAATTATTATTATTATTATTATTATTATTATTATTATTATTACAGGGCTGGTGCTATGATTAGGCCATTTAAGGCAGCCACTTGTGATGCAGACCTCAGAGGAGTGCAGTACTGACCTTTGAGGAGCCCATTTTAATACATATTAGTTTTTTGTTATATCGTAAAGATAATATTTTACTTTTATTGTATATTTTGAAAAAGCGGTATCATTTTTTTGGGAAGTAATTCATACATTAGAATTTTTTGAGGTGTGTGTGTGTGTGTGTGTGTGTGTGTGTGTGTCTGCAAGTAGTTAGTCTTGCCCGGGGCACAGAATAGTCTGACACCAGCATTGACTGACTACATTGATTGGCAGTGGCTCCTACATTGCAGGGGGTTGGACTACATGATCCTCAGGTTACCTTCCAACTCCTCGATTCTATGATTCTTCAGGGTTTCAGGCAGGGAGTATGTCCCAGACCTGCCCAGAGAAGGTGGAGATTGAATTAAAAAATTCAGATTAAATAAGTGAAAAATGCAGGCTGGTATTCTGATGTCAGTGGTGCTATATGGATTTTCCAAAAACCTGTATGCATGAGGACTACTGATCCCATTTGGAAACATATGAACATGCAGATAAGCATGCATAAGATTGGGATGTTAGAAAAAAACAAACTTGTTTGGTTTTGGGGTGACAATCACTTTCAAAGTTCCTCTCTTTCATGGCTGATTTTTCCAAAATAGAAAATGCTATGTAGTTTTCTTCCACCCACCCCTGTAATTCCAGTGTTTGAAACTAACGGTTGCATAACAAGCACAAAGTAAGAGGTGAGGCTTACTGTAATAACTGCATTTGAGAGAAGCTTCACCTATAAAATTTTGACTCGTCATGCAGCTGTTACAAGCAGAGGAGCCCAGCTAGAAAAAAGTTGCAACTCAAATAGTGCACAATTGTCCAAAGGCTTTTAAGAAATATTTTCAGTTGCACTGAAAGTCAGGCCCCTGCCTTTATAAAAGAATACGGTATGTTCTCATATCCCCAGACAGAAACCATCTTTGAATTTTTTGATGAATATAGAGTTTGGTTATCTTGTCACAAACATAATGAAGCAGAAATCTGCTCACAGCAATTGAGAGGCAAATACTTTTGTTTTTGAATTCACCTTAGAATGTCTTTAAATAATAGTTCGGTTGTTTAGGTAAAGTGCTTTCCTGACTAAATTGTGAGTGCCCTCTAGACTTTAAAAATAAGTACTGCAGTATTGTTTTTACATATACAGTGGTACCTCTGGTTACGAACTTAATTCGTTCCACAGGTCCGTTCTTAACCTGAAACTGTTCTTAACCTGAGGTACCATTTTAGCTAATGGGGCCTACCGCTGCTGCGCCACCATGCAATTTCTGTTCTCATCCTGAGGTAAAGTTCTTAACCCGAGGTACTACTTCAGGGTTAGCGGAGTCTGTAACCCGAGGTGTCTGTAACCCGAGGAACCACTGTACATTTCACTAAAGAAAACTTAGAGACTAAGAACAGCTTCACACACGTTCTGTTACTTGCCCAGAAAATGTTTCTGCATAGCTAACTGTATAAAATCCATATGCCTGGTAGTCAGCTGTGGCTATCTATATGTAGGCTTCGTGTTGCTTCCTACAAGGAAGTACCTTCCCTGCAGAAAAAAGTGTTATCTGAATTGATCTTAACTGGTTTACCGAAACATGGAATGGTGCAAGCAACTGTAGTTTTCTTAGAAAGCTTTTTTACAAAAGCTTTTTAGATAACTTCCCCCCCTCAACTGACCTTCCAGGACTGATATTTCTTAGGAGGGTGATGGTCAGAATTATGTTCTTTTGTAATTTTTTTTTAATGGGAGAATTGCAGAGTACTAGTTATAAGGTGTTTTTTTTTAAATTGTATTCTTCTTATCTTTATGATTTAAGTTACTTTGGATGGACATTTGCCCAGAAAAGCAGCTTTAAAATATTGTAAATTGTAATTAAAAATGTGTGGCATGTCTAGGTCACTGGTTTTCTCTATGTAAAAAAAGAGGTCTCTGGGAGAGCAGTACATAGGCAGCATAGGCAGTGGTGGTTCTATTGGTCTGTCAGGCATCTCTTTAGATCACCCATCACAAATCTTTTACCCGCCAGAGGTTTGGACAACAGCTGCAGCCAGCATAGTAGGATTTTCTCCTATTTTTGTCCCATGTTAGAAAACTGTGTTCAAGCCATTGTGCCCCACACATTGTTTTGCTGCTGGTTCTGACACGATTCAAAAAGTTCAGGACTGTCTGTTAAAGGAAATGATTTACATGTATATTTGCTAAGGCAGAAGTCCTTAAAATGTTACCTGGAGAAGGAAAGGAATATTTCCTGGTTGAGAAGGTGTTACGTAATTCAAACGTTTACAAGGCAGAGTGGGAATTTCCTGGATTGCACCTGTTAAATTAAGTAATCAGGAAAGTAAATGAAGTGTCACTCCTACTTGCAAACTGGACTCCAATCTTCTTTATCGAGCCTTTTTAATCATTCTTTCAGATTGGTTGAAAAAGTTCTTAGCTGCACATCCCCTCCCAAGGAGTGAAATAACATGGCCCTTTAAAATGCTGGCCTTCCTCTATGGCATATGCCCAGTCCTCTAGGCTTCAGCGTTATGGCAATCTCATAACTTGTCCTTTCTTCAGTCTTTGTTGGTGCAATTTATGTGCCCTACCCCAAATCTCTCCTCTTTGTTACTCATTGTTTTTATCGGGGAACGTCCACATATTCGTAGTGAAGTTGCTTGCTCCTGTTAAAAGATAGGTGGGCATGGAGTTTTGAGGCCCTGGCCTGTTGTTTATTTTGCTTTGTTTTGCTAAATTACATGCATTTTGTCTTAGGCTAGGCCTGTCCTTTTAAGGTAGGGTACTGAACCTAGAAAAAACTAGAATAAACAAGTGGAGCCTGCAACAAAATATTGTTATGTACAGTGGTACCTCGGGTTACATACGCTTCAGGTTACATACGCTTCAGGTTACAGACTCTGCTAACCCAGAAATAGTACCTCAGGTTAAGAACTTTGCTTCAGGATGAGAACAGAAATCAGGCTCCGGTGGTGCGGCAGCAGCAGGAGACCCCATTAGCTAAAGTGGTACCTCAGGTTAAGAACAGTTTCAGGTTAAGAATGGACCTCTGGAATGAATTAAGTTCTTAACCCAAGGTACTACTGTATACTCTTCCCTCCTAAGAATAGTAGGTACTCCTGTTTAGGATTCCAGTCAGGCATTCCGCCCCACCCCAAACCGAGCACTTCAAACACATACACATGGCACAACACTCCACAATGGTTGTTTCCCAATTGATACTCAATGGCTCCTGAACATTCTGTTTTCACTGGGCTATCTCTGGGGGGTGGGGATCCCCTTAATGTTGTTAAAACTTCAGACTTCAAGGTTTCTCTGACCATGCTCATACCACCCTTGTTTTTAAAGATATTGACTCAATGTCTTTTGGCATGAACTATTACATCTATTTCACCCTGTCTATTCTAAATGAAATGAAATGAAATAGGACACACCAAACTGGGTGAAAATAATTTCACCTCATTTATATTATATCAGAAATAATACAACACTCCTGTAATATAAAGGTAAAGGTACCCCTGACCATTAGGTCCAGTTGTGACCGACTCTGGGGTTGCGGCGCTCATCTTGCTTTATTGGCCGAGGGAGCCGGCATACAGCTTCCAGGTCATGTGGCCAGCATGACTAAGCCGCTTCTGGCGAACCAGAGCAGTGCACGGAAACGCTGTTTACCTTCCCGCTGGAGCAGTACCTATTTATCTACTTGCACTTTGATGTGCTTTTGAACTGCTAGGTTGGCAGGAGCAGGGACCGAGCAACAGGAGCTCACCCTGTCGCGGGGATTCGAACCACCGACCTTCTGATCGGCAAGTCCTAGGCTCTGTGGTTTAACCCACAGCGCGTAGGTCAGTATTATTGTACCTGTTAAGTTGTGGACGAACATATCAGACGACACACCGATTCTTCAAACAGCTCTTGTTTATTCAAAGGCCAGAACAGAACTGAACTGAAGGGCTCAATCAGCCTGCTTATATAGAGCTCTAGTACAACAGTTACTGTAGCAACTTTCTAAAACTATCCAATCACTGAACGTCACTTTCGATCCTTCATTTGCATAAAAACTATCCAATCACTGAACGTCACTTTCGATCCTTCATTTGCATAACTATCTACAGTATCTCCTTGCTGGCCCAGGGTGAAAACTTCAGTACATAACAGTACCCACATTGCAGATCAGGAACTGAGGCTAGAAGCAGCTTGGCTATGGCTACCAAATTATTTATTTACTACATTTACATCCTGCCTTTCCTCGTTGGAGCTCAAGGCAGCATGATTCCTCACCCTCCATTTTATCCTCAAAACAACTACATAATGGAAGCTCATCTGAGAGGCTCAATTTCACCTCCCAAGCTTCATGGCTGAGTGGGGATTTGAGCCCGGTTTGGCCTGGCCGTGGCCCTAGTCCAACACCCTAACCACAACACCAGAATTACTGAAGCAAGATCTGAGGAATCAGAAACTTCCCTGCCAGCAGCCCTAGCCACTTCATTGCATAAGCTCCTGTGTCCCCATTCTACCTACAGATTGGAAATAATCAGGGATTGCTTATTTTAAAAAATCCATATAGGATTAAGGTGCCAGTCTACAAATTGTGCTCACTCATTATGTAAACAATGTTCAGTTCAGTCCTGTCTCAGCTGAGTGACTGCTTTCATAATTTAACCTCTGACTGCTTCCAAATGTCATCAGGCCTACTTAATGCAGCACAGTACACGATACTGTGCAGGAGAATTACATTTTGTGCATTAGGCATGCTGACAAGCTGTGTGAAGTTGAACCACATGCTCCTGATGGACATGGATGAGAGAGTAGCGATGATGACTGTACTCCTGGCTCATGTTGAGAGTCATGTAAAAATCCTAATTAACGAATAAAAAAGTGAGTCACAAAACATATAACCTCCAGGATCTTAAAACACATGTTTCTGAAGTTTATCTTGCAATTTATTTTTGAAGTGTTCCCAGGCATGCAATTTTATTAGTCAAGTCAAGTTAAGTTAAAACGGTAGATGAGTGCCATATCTCTCTGTGTGTGACTGAGCTGTAACTTTCATGACAGAGAGGTATTCACAGTGCACTGCCAGTGAATTGCAATACATTGCAGAGAGCGTTGGCTACAGAAACCCAGGTTAAAATCTTTTTCTCTAATCTGAATTTTATTTTGTCACCTTCCTCAACCTTTCAGGTATGAATCAGCCCCAGGTGATGGAAAGGGATTGGATTGGTTTCCCCCCTTTTCCTCCTGTAGCTACATTCTACAGATTGCCTTGCTTTTCCTCTGTAGCCACATTGAGCTTTTTAGACTCTGGTACTTGTTACATGCCAGAATGTAGTTTTACTGGTCATACCACTGAAATAATTGTCAGTGGAGCACAATCTAATATTTCACTTAATAATACAGGCTTAAAACACACTGCCCTCTTAATATTTACTCGTATGAGCTGGGTAAATTTGTACTCTGAACTAGTTTGATAAAAAACTTCAGTGATATCCCCTGAAAATAATTAGCACATTAATTGTTTGGGGGATAATTTAGTAGCACTCATTTAGAAGAAGCAACTTCACACCAACAGCCTCCACAAATCTCCTCACTGTACTTCAGTTCTTCCTAGGGTTTCCAATTAAGGTGGGGAAGATTTTAAATGCCTGGTTTCTTTTCTCTCAAACATAGGTGAGCAGACAACTTTGGGGCTGGTTTCTGCCCCTAGACTTCCATCTCATAAAACTGATTGAAACTTTGGTTTTACTCCTTGCTCCATTGCTGGTCCTGTCATGGATTGTGTCCCAGGTTCCAGATATTTTGTTAATAATTTCAAGAGTCAGCAACACCAGCTGCTTCCATAGCCATCTCTTTCAAAACTATTTTATAGCAAATCAGTCTGCGCTTACAGAAGCTGGAAAGCAGTTCTTATCCAAGTGTGTTTATATATACCTATGTGTATATTTGCCAAAATTTTAACAGAAAAATGCACCCAATCAGAAAACTTACAATACTTATATATGTTTATTCCCTTTTAGTGAATATTTTAATAAACATTTTAACATTTTAATTCAGTTTACTAATAGTTTATATGCATTTTAAAAACAAAAGTATTCATGATATTGCATATCTTTGGCTATGGCCTTAGTCATAAGGGCAGGAAGGAGCTTTTAGTCTTTTCTTCCCCTTGTTCTCTTTTTATACACCCTAATTTACATATTTCTCCTAGAAAAGGTCATCTTTTAATTAACAGATGAGCTTTTCAGAGTTGCTCTTCTTTTACCTAGCAGATTAGCTTTTTGGAGCTTGATGAAAATCCAAAAATAAGATTTAGCAAATAGCATTGATGATTGAAAATATCGTGGATTATTAGTAAAGAGTAGCATTTCTATACCTGATGCATATTTGTCAGTTTTAGAAGATAAAGTGTTTTTTCCTCTTCCTTAACTAGATGCGACAGCACAGAGCTTGATGATGAAATAAGGATTCTGATAGGGAAGAGTGGTGCTTGGGAATCCTGTAAGAAGCTGGAGAGCAGCTCACATCCCCCGAACGTAAGCAACTTTCTTCCCACTTTGTCATTCTTGACAAGCTGCTTTTAATCATCACGACTTGTACTGTGCCGTTGTATACAACTTCCTTTATTGCTTATATGATGGGAACAAACACTTCATTATATCTCCCCTCTGTAGTTGCTTCCTGATTTTAGGGGAAACACTTGTATGAAATGTCATTACTTTTCAGGACTTTAAACCATCATCACCACATCAGTGCTTTCACATGGGGCAGTGATACACCAGTTTTATGCTACTCATTTGCCTATGATCAAAAGCCAGAGATTCAAAATTAACAAAGCAGTGTCACTGATGGCAAGACTGTTATCCCACTGGTATTTCATATTTTTAGGAATGGTGGCAACGCTGGGCCATCTTGTTCTGTTCTCTGTTTCTGAGGTATGCAACACCTGCCCAATTTCTCTCCCTCCTGTGGCAGACAGGAAGGTAGGTCTCAGGTGTGACTTGGAGTTCTTCTTGGAATAAAGGTTATTCATCTTGGCACTCTGGCTGAATAGGTGATGCAGTTTTTGGTCTCATCACTGCAAAGGTAAAGGTAAAGGTACCCCTGACCGTTAGGTCCAGCCGTGACCGCCTCTGGGGTTGTGCGCTCATCTCACTCTATAGGCCGAGGGAGCCGGCGTTTGTCCGCAGACAGCTTCCGGGTCATGTGGCCAGCAGGACTAAGCCACTTCTGGCGAATCAGAGCAGCACACGGAAACACCGTTTACCTTCCCGCCGGAGAACTGCTAGGTGGGCAGTAGCTGGGACCGAGCAACGGGAGCTCACCCCGTCACGGGGATTCGAACCATCAACCTTCTGATCGGCAAGTCCTAGGCATTGCATGAATCAGGGGTGGGGAGATTGTGGCCCTCCAGATGTTGTACCCCGATTTTCATCAGCCCCAGCCAGCTTGGTCAATGATACAGGGTTATGGGAGATGTAATCCAGCAACATCTGAAGGTTCATGGGTTCCCCATCTCTGTCTTAGACACATAAATAACACCACATGCTCATGTATTCCTAGCTCTCACCCAGAAGAAAAAGAGCCCAGTGGTTCCAGAAACTTGAAAAACCAATACATGGAGCATGTATGATATTTTGAATAAGAAGCAACATGTTGCTAGTACGTAGAAAGTATTTTTTTAAAAAAACATGGCACTTTCCACTAAAGATCTTCAATGCAACACAATTACTAAAATGCTGTTACATACTTGACTTAGGTTATTTGAACATTTCACAATGTTACATTTCTCATGTCTCTTCTCAGTGGTTCTCAGGTAACTCTTTTCAAATGGAATTGTATAAGAGAAGGGAAACAGCAGCCATTTTGCCCAGAGAGCATTCATTCGTATTCCACTCAAACTTAGTGTAAGCAAATCAGGATGAAAGCTTAATAAAGAGGTCATTTGAGAGAGCCCTAGGATCAGGGAGCCCTGGGTTCAAATCTCCACTCAACCATGAAGCTCGCTAAGTGAACAAACCTAAGCTGGACTTTATCTCTCAGCTCAACCTTATAGGGTTGTTGTGAAGGGCAAAGTGTCCTGAAGTTTGGGATAAAAATGGATTAGATAAATGCTCATCCCTTTTTGTACTGCCACAGCTTTGGTTTAGTTTATTTCCTCACCCTCACCCCCATTTCTTTGGCTTTAATACATGGCTTGGAGAGGAGAGATTCAGCTCTTTTTGTTTGTTTGTTTGCTTCCTTGCTTCATTTCTATTAATTGATGTCATGACCCACCTTGGGGGTTGAAGTGTGGGACATAAATATTTAGATAAAGAAATGAATAATTGTTCCTTGATTCCCTTCTGTGTCTATTTACCCCTGACTGCTATTGATGCAGCTGGGTCGCTTCTCTGGTGGTACAAAGTGGTTGTTGTTACTATCTTCTGTTTATTTTAAGTGTTCTTTTTTAATTAAAGGCAAAATTTAATGTACTTCACTCTAAAGAGAAACAATGTTTATATTTAAGGCAAAAACATAAAGTAAACAAGGAGGCAAGCTTTTACATAAGAACATAAGAAGACTTGCTGGATCAGGCCAATGGCCTAATCCAAAATGTTTTAACCTAAAATACATATTTTAGCCTTTATTATGAATTTTTGCATCCATCTAAACCTAAAATATGTATTTTTTTTAAATACAGTGCACATGTTTAAAAATGGTTTTTTTGTGACACAATATTCAGGAAGTATGACAAATGAAGGATAGCTGTGATCCAGATTGCATATTAATCTAGGATATATAAATTGGGCCAGTTATATGCTGAATATCTGCTTTAAACTCAGAAATAACTGAAAATTGTACATTCAGTCCTCAGATATTAAAAAAGCAGGAGAGATTAGAGTGAAGAAACAGGTGGGGAGGAGAGAATATAATCCAGTAAAAATATATATGGGGGAAAGTGTTTAATAGATTGCAAAAGTTATGTGCTATGCCCTGTGTGCTTGAAGTTCACTTAGATCAGATTTCATATAGCAACACACTACCTATCTACTTCAAAAGAAGTTAACAACATGTTGTATTTTTGGGGGGTGGGAGAACAAAACAAAACAAAACAAAATCTGTACTGCCTTCTTCCTGAACAAAAATACCTGGCTGCCTTCAATTTCCCTCAGAAGGCAGGTGAATCACACAATTCGCTGCATATTTTTGAGGGTGGGATCCTGGAGTGTTTATCTGAGTCTTCTTGATTTTCTTCTGAGGCCCTTTTTCGCAAACCCATTTGGGAGCACAGTGGGTCTGCATGCCTTTCTATAATGTTTACAATTTCTGAAGCAGAGAATTCAGATGACATCCCATAAACTGACATCTTGTAACCCAAAGGCTCTTTCCAAGCTGTTTTCAGGACTTATGTGTAAACAAATTCCCTCTGCTTCCTTCCCCCTTTTTTATACAAACCAGGAGATCTTCACAGGGAAAATAAAACTAGGCTTAAAAGGTACCACATGACTGTGATCTGCTGTGAGAAGCTAATGAGACTGTGAACATCTGCTTCATGCACCAGTAATTGCATCTGTAATGGTTTTTCATTACAGTGTGTTAGGATATCCTAGTCCTTTCTTGGGGCGCAGTGATCTTAATTATCCTTAAGTTAAGCCCACTGTATAACTTGAAGAGAAGATTCAGCTATCAATCCTTATGAGAACAAGATAAATGCTGTCAGCTTTGTTTCCCTCCAAGACATACACAAGCAAACTCTATTGGAAAGCTCCTCTAATAGAAAAGAACATTTGTTCTCATATGATGTTTGATTCCTGACATATGCTGTTAAGGCTTTTCAGGTATCTTATTTGTCTGTGTGCATGGAACCTTAGAAACATTAGATGATAAATCTTGAAACTTTAGAAGATAACAATGTAGAAGAGTTTGGATTTGATATCCCGCTTTATCACTACCCCAAGGAGTCTCAAAGCGGCTAACATTCTCCTTTCCCTTCTTCCCCCACAACAAACACTCTGTGAGGTGAGTGGGGCTGAGAGACTTCAGAGAAGTGTGACTAGCCCAAGGTCACCCAGCAGCTGCATGTGAGGAGCGGGGACGCGAACCCGGTTCACCAGATTACGAGTCCACTGCTCTTAACCACTACACCACACTGGCTGTACAGGCTGATACACCTCCCCACATCCATAAGGATATGGTTGCATCCAAAGCAGGCCAAAAACATAATTCCTTTTCCAAGAGTTTCTTGTATCCTCTTAGTCCAGTAGAAGATATGGACAGACCAGCTTTCAATGAGAATATTCTGGAATCCTGGGGCTCCTCCAGATGACCTTGATTCATCTTGATTTGCTTGCACACATCGTACATGGGGATTATGCAATGCCCACCCTTTACTGAACCTTCATCCTGACTCATTTGTGCATATGTTATATGTCTTCCCATCAGTCACTCATTTATCCTACTCTTTTAAATGCATTTCCCCTCTCCCTAACTACAAAAAAAGGCAATTTTTAAAACAGCAGATACGTTGCACTGGTCAACCTTCATCCACTTGAATTGCACACACATTTTTGGGTAGGCGATTGCATCCCTCCCACAAAATACTGACAGTTGAGAGGCGACGCTGGCTAGGATGAATTACTGGTTTGATTCTAAACAGTTCCACAAATGCACCTTTTTGGCACCATGCACCAGCATCTTAAGATGCCTAGAAATATGATGGGTAAAGTTAACACCAACATAACTGTTGAAACCATGTTCAGAAAGAGCCTTAGAAGCTGGTCACTGAATTTGAAGCTGAGCAGGTAACAGCGATACAGGGGACATGGTAGTGTGCTGTTTTAAGCTTGTTGGGTTTCCTTTGGGAAACTTAAATGTCATTTGTGAGCCACTAGATGGCCATCTATCTTCCAAGCTTGGGGGGAGGGGAATCACCCTCTCACTTTGCTTCAAATGATCAACATGTTCAGTACTGCCTTAGAACAAAGGTATGCAAAAGTCAGCTATAAAAATGCAGATTCTTCATCAGAAAGGAATACAGCCCAAGGAAGAGAAAGACTTGAGAAATCCTGGAAATGGAAGGGATGCAATGCAAAAATGATAATGAAAGGCAGAGCCCAGCTTGTAGAGATGAAAGAAGACAGAGAAGAACTTGGGCGCCCATATGAAAAGTGTCTGACGATCATGGGTTTTGCTTGGAACATAGTGTCTGTACTTTAGGAAGGAATCTTAAAAGGGAACATAAAATGTAAAATGAGTTCTCTGAATACTTTGATGTGGTTGGTTGTGTTTCATATGAATTTGGTCAGAGAGGGTGGAAATGTCCTCCTAGGTCAATGATATGAAAACTGCCAGAAGAAAATTTATGAAGGTTTTCAACTATATTGAGCACTGCTTGAGTTGCCATTCCACATCCTTGTGTACTCATAGAAAGAGCCAAAAATAAAATGTAAAAAGGTTATTTGGATGATGTGCAGCAGTGGATATAGTTGTTACATATGTTTCTTAACAGAGTGGAAAATATTCTGGCTCAAATAAAAAAAAAAAATTCTTCAGATTTTTTTTTTTTTTTAAAGGAAGGATATCGCTGCAACTAGGGATGGGTGAATCTGTAAATTTTGTTTCTCTCTATTTTTAATTTTTCCAGTCTTAAGTTCAGTTTTCCACATTTCCTGTTTGCAAATTTCTTTCAGAACAAATCTCATGAAAATTTCTCAGCATTTTTGTGTGAAATTTTTGCTTCACGTTGCCCAATATGCACATTTTTTTGCAAGGCAGTTTCCCCTAATATAATGCATTTTTTATTTTCTTCCTACCCCTGGTATCACTGGAGGTTCATCCATTGTGCCCAGTGGCCTGGTGGTGTTGTTACTGAATTCTAGGTTGGTACATAATAAGGGCATGTTGCTCCATGCATGCTGGTCTGTATAACTGAGACCTGGTTGGGGGAACTGGGTGGACCAGACCTGGATGAATTAGACCATAGTTCTTCTGTACCTGGGTACTCTGTGCAACACCAGTCCAGTCCAGAGCTGAGCAGACCAGAGGGGCACCTTTCTCATATCTTTTATTTTCTGTGCAACTTTCTACAAAATGCTAGGGTAGGTTAAATAATACATTTTTAGTCACTCCAATACTGTAAATGCTGCTGCTGCAGGAAAACAGTGGCAAATATTCTGAGATATCCTGCGTCTGCAAATTAAGATGAAGGAAATAATGTTAGACCTACATTATAGGGTCATGGTAAACATTAAAGAGATAATAGATGTGGAAATACTTTGAAAATTCAGGAAAAAGTAGTAAATAAATACTAAGATAAAAGATAAAGGTAAATGACCCCTGGATGGTTAAGTCCAGTCAAAGGCAACTATGGGGTATGGTGCTCATCTCGCTTCAGGCCGAGTGAGCCGGCGCTTGTCCACAGACAGCTTTCTGGGTCATGTGGTCAGCATGACGAAACCACTTCTGACAGTTTATGCAAATACTGTAAAGTTGAAGAAGCACTTTGAGCATTAGTTTGCATTTTAATTTGATATGCTTTTGCTGTTCCAGTGCATTCCATGCCACTCCTCCTTTCTGAGTAAAGAGCGTCACTGCACTTCATTGCAAACGTTTACATATTTTTACCTTATATGTCCAGTCTTCCTGCTCTCTTTCCTAAGGTGGACTTTCCTGTCATGCATTGTCTGGATAGCATGAACATGTTTTTTCCTTTCTTTCATCTACCTCTCATTCTTGACATACTTTGCAATCTTACATTGCACATACTGACTAAATCACATCTGTTTTGTAATTCTTTTAGTTATGCTAACTAACATGGAAGGCAATGGTGAATGGGCCATGTTTCACTGCTTTGTTTCATTATTTTGGCTTAGAGGGAGATAAATGTAGATTTGATGGGGATTCCTCAGATACTTACTTATGCAGAGATGATAAGAAAGGACCTAAAATCCAGCACATACTTTTCCTGGGCAAACTTTGTGTTGAAGCGTTGGGTATAAAAGTTTTGAATGGATGAATGAATTCATGTACAGTCCACAATGCTTGTTACTCAATTCACACTTTTGACAACCCACCCACCTTCAGCAATGTGCAATTTTAAATGTGTGAAGAACTATATATACTTCGCAATATAACACGCCCACGAAGGAGGTTTCTGTTCATGTTATACCATAGAAGTAAAAGTATTACCACAGCTTTCTTTATCTGTATTCTACCTTTCCAGTTTCCTGTCTGTTAAACCTACCTAGGTAACAGCAGGGAGAAACTAAAACTGACTTTCAATTCAAAATCTATATCAGGGCAACACTTTATTAGGCGAACCAAAATGTCACAAAACAATGTGTAAACTTTCAAATTCTCCAGAGCCCTTTATCAAACTATATGGTAAAAAGGAGGAAGGATGGCAGCTGGGAGAGGAAGAGGAGGAAATATGTTGGTGGGTGGTGAAGACATGGAGTCTGCATTTAAACATAGTCTAAAGGGATGTGGGTGGCGCTGTGGGTTAAACCACTGAGCCTAGGACTTGCCGATCAGAAGGTCAGCGGTTCGAATCCCCATGATGGGGTGAGCTCCCGTTGCTCAGTCCCTGCTCCTGCCAACCTAGCAGTTCGAAAGCACGTCAAAGTGCAAGTAGATAAATAGGTACCACTCTGGCAGGAAGGTAAACGGCGTTTCCGTGCACTTCTCTGGTTCGCCAGAAGCAGCTTAGTCATGCTGGCCACATGACCCGGAAGCTGTATGCCGGCTCCCTTGGCCAATAAAGTGAGATGAGTGCCGCAACCCCAGAGTCAGTCACGACTGGACCTCATGGTCAGGGGTCCCTTTACCTTTACCTTAAGGATGGAGTGTGTGAGGACATAGCAGACACACTGGTGAGGGTTAGGTTGTGCATACACTGTACCTTTAATGTGCACATTCTTTCACCCCAAAAATACCGGGCACTGTTGTTTACCCCCCACAGAGTTATAATTCACAGTAACCCTTTATAAACTACAGTACCCAGAATTCTGTGAGGGAAAGAAAGTGATTCAAATGTGCTTTAAAGGTATAGTGTGTAAACAGCCTGAGTTAGGTGCCATGTAGGTTTTAGGTCGTATCCAAGGCTGCCATGAAGAAGGAACATACAATGATTTGAAAATGTAGAATTTAACTGTGATGTAACTGAGGTAAACTGAGCCAGACAAGGATACTAAAAGTGATGGGTGTATGTACTGAGTAATAGCCCAAATGTATAGGACTGAATGTGGGCCAACCAAAACAGGGGGAAAATCGTTCTTGAATATTTAAAAGTTTAATGTTGCTCTGATTTGAACTGCACTTACTTGTTTATAGGAAGTTTTGACTTAAACATTAGTTTCTAAAGTAAAATCACTGTTTAATCATTAAGTTGTCACGCAGATGTGTGGGATTCAGCTGCAGAAAAGTTTATTATTTCATCAATACAGTAACCAAATGAGTGGCCAGGTTGCCCATAAAGGTGTGGTATTTCTCAAAGCATGGTTTAAATTTTAATATATTATATGTTGGTGCTTAAAAATAATGCATGATAATAAGTGAAATGAATTGAGAACATCGGACCTTTAAAAAAATTATCAATATTCAATACCAAACTCATATATTTTCAAGCTCCATTCATTTTTGATACATCATTTTTGCCCTCCATTCATAATTTATTTATGAATGACCTTTTACCTGTGTCCCAGGTGATTTACAGATATACCATAAAAACAGCTATATTGAAAGTATATAAATAGAAAGAAAACTAAAGGCAGTTTAAAAAAAGAAAAAGAAAATGAACACCTAGGACAAAGACCTTTTCACCCTGGTGGAAAAACTTGTTGAAAATACCTTCAGTTGTTTGTGTCTGGTAGGAAACAATTTTGGCCAGTGGGCCTGATCCTTATCTCTTTTCCCTGCCATGGGCCAACTCTGACATCACACCTTGAACCTACCAATCACGATTTCCCTACCTCACCCCTGTAGATTTAAGGCTTTATACTTCATTTGAATCCTCTGATTCCCACCCTCTACGCCTGCAAAAACAACAACAGCAGGAATGTAAAAGGCCAACTTTACTAAAACCCAGAACTTTCTAATTACTTTAACAATTATATGTGACTTGAAATTATTGCCAACCACTTGCTACTAGTGTAATTAGAAAATCACAGTTCTGTGATATTCAGTCTTAATAGGAACACACACCTTGATTTATTTCCTTGTGAACTCACTACTTTATTACTTTGTTACTAGCCAGCAAATATTTGAAGAGGCAGAATATGTTTATGTGTGCTTAACTGGGGTGGGTGGGAATTGCACACCCAGTTTGTATAGGTTTTCTGCTACATGGTACATATTGTTCGTTATGTTGGACATTTCCTTCCCAATTGTTTTCGGAAGCATTGCTCATATTTTACATAAACCATGACTCACTTATTTCACTGTCATGGGCAAATATACAGTATGTCTTAACATCCAATCTGAAAAGTTCTCTGAATGTGCAAGGACATTTGGGGGGGGGGGGGAGATCCAAGAGGAAATGCTTATCAGTGGCAGGAGGGAGGGGTGTGTGACCTAGTCAGTTTACTCCCCTTTTCTTGTCTGTACAGCTTCCCCTCCCAGAGAACAGCTGGGTGACAACAAGGAAGCTGCAGTTTACATACCACAAGAAACAGCCAGCTATCTTTTCACCTGAATCATAGGCTACATAACTTGAGACATTTTGGGAAGCCCCCTAGTCTGTGAAGGATTCAAATACAAGTTCCATCACTTGCTGTATTCCACACACAGAGAGAAAGACATGGATGCGTTTTCTGTGATGCTTTTGTGAAGTCTTAGTGGCCTTCTTCTTGTCTTGAATGAATTCTCCCACACAACGTATGTGACTTGTTTTCCTTCATCTGTTTTAAAGGCCTTTAGTGAACACAACACCCGACAGAGGCAGGTGGGCATGGAGGATGAGAAGAGAACTTCAAGCAGCCTGTCAGAGGTAAAGGAGTGCACCGGCTGGACATATGTGTCTGTGGCAATTGGACTTTTCATTTTGTGCTAGGACCAGTAACACTGTATCTTGTATCGGGCTGTAATTGTTGCAGTACTCGAAGCTAGAGGTTACCTAGGGTACTGTCTTAAAGGCACCCCAATTTCTCTGCTTCTTTGTCATGTATGTAGAACTTTTTCATCTTCCTGCTATGAAAAGATGCACAAGCTCCTGCTGCAATAAGTTTAAAAATAATAACTAACTATTTACAATGAAATCAAAAAGTCTTTTTTCTTTCTTTTTTTAAAGGTTGTTCTTTGTTAATGTAAGATATAAAAAGTATCTAATATTATATATCTATTATTGCTGTGCACTCTGGAAACTTACATAGTTTGCTTAAGTCACATTTTTCAGGGGCTCCTAATATACACTGAAACAGTACCTAATATACATATGCTTTCTTTTCTTTTCATAGGATATATTGACAAAGAAGATGCCAGTACGTGTACTGGAACAACAGATTATATCATTGGAAAAACAGAGGCAAGAGGTAAATTTTAAGCATTTTTTTGGACAAGCTGATGCACTGCAATGGGTTGTTCACTTGGAGTTTTGGGTTGTAAATTCATTGTTGTAAATGCACATTAATCTTTCTGGAGGAAGCAGTGGCTAATCTTGGTTCTCCTATGCATGAATTGCATCATGCATGTGGTTGAAAATTGTGTGCATAATTATGGTTCATGTTTATATGTACATGTAAAATGTATCATCTAGACTTTCCTTAAGGGACGCGGGTGGCACTGTGGGTTAAACCACAGAGCCTAGGACTTGCCGATCAGAAGGTCAGCGGTTTGAATCCCTGTGACGGGGTGAGCTCCCATTGCTCGGTCCCACTCCTGCCAACCTAGCAGTTTGAAAGCACGTCAAAGTGCAAGTAGATAAATAGGTACTGCTCCAGCGGGAAGGTAAACGGCGTTTCCGTGTGCTGCTCTGGTTCGCCAGAAGCGGCTTATTCATGCTGGCCACATGACACGAAAGCTGGACGCCGGCTTCCTTGGCCAATAAAGCGAGATGAGCGCCACAACCCTAAAGTCGGTCACGACTGGACCTAATGGTCAGGGGTCCCTTTATCTTTACTAGACTTTCCTTACCCATTATGACCAATAGGTTTGGCCTCAAACTAGACTTTCCTTACCTATTAGGACCAATAGGTTTGGCCTCAAATGTTGACAAAAAAGATTTTGGAATCAAGGTGGCATATATCCACCTGTACAGTTGTCTGTTTGAAGTAGCCATCTATTTGAAGTATTGTGTGGTCCAAGTCTGGTTTAAACTTAAGAAGGAAATTGTGCCTTGAAGTTGCCTCTTGACATCACCTAAAAGGCAGACTGAGCAGGCACACAGTTCACTAGGTTACAGTCTCCCCACTATGATGTATTGTAATGTATTTCTATTGATATCTTCCCTCTAAATTTTCATGTATACATATAAATTAGTATATGCAAATGTTATGCAAATCTGTGACCTCTTTTGCCCTTTTTCTTGGTAGTGTGTTGTAAGGGGCTATCCTGTCTGGAATGCTTACATGATGGTATATATAATAGATGGGAAAGAAGCACATTTCATGCTGCTATGAACTATGTGAACTTTCAGAGCTGTGAGGGAAGTCTGCTCATCTTAGAAATCCCTGCAGGAAGTCTTGTGTTTAACATTTGCATTTCCACAGCATTAAGCCTGACTCAGCTGCCACTCCCTATTCGTCTTGCCCTAACATTCATTCCTATGCTTTATATATCATACAAGGCAAACGGAATATAATCTTATTGTAAGTGTTTTGATAGTAATACAAAACAGCTGTAAGTAGTGTAGTTAAGAGGTTGGAAGCAGATATAATCAATAAAACCTTAAATGACCTGAGGCTTCCATGCTTTAGGAGCCACATTCTTCCAATGACTCTTGCATATCTCAGGAAATACCAGTGTTGGGGAAGGCCCTGTAGGTCACAGCTCACAGCAGCTTTGAAACTTCCCAAAGTCCTGTCCTCTGTTTCTCCTGAAATGTTTTTCCTCGGGCAAGAATTTGATGGCTGATTGAGCATTCATTTACTTGGTTAAATTAAAATTTAAAATATTTATGTTTTATCACTATTCCTGTTCTGAGAATCAGGAAATAAGACAAATGAAATCTCTAAAATAATATGCCAGTTCCAAGGTTAAAATATAAGACCACTTCAGGTTTCACACTTGTAATGTGAGAATAAATAATGTACCTAACACAATTAGTTAATAATTTCAGCTGCTGGCAGTGAACAATCAATGGGATCAGCAGTTCAGGCGAATGAAACAGCAGTATGGAAAAAAGGTAAATTTCTATTTAAGTGTGACAGAAGTGGAGGCTACCTTTCTATACTTTTAATTTTAATTTGTTTTGTTTTGTCTTGTCTAATTTTTAAGAAGGGGAAGGTAGAGTAGCAGAAAGGGTGGGCAAGGAACAAAAGCATATACTGCTTTTGAAAACCTAGCAAGTGCATCTGATGTAGGTTTGAGGTGATGATTGCTGCAGTCTTTTGGAGAGGATACTGAATTCTGATGACTAAAGAAGAAGAGTTTGGATTTGATATCCCGCTTTATCACTACCCTAAGGAGTCTCTAAGCAGCTAACATTCTCCTTTCCCTTCCTCCCCCACAACAAACACACTGTGAGGTGAGTGAGGCTGAGAGACTTCAGAGAAGTGTGACTAGCCCAAGGTCACCCAGCAGCTGCATGTGGAGGAGCGGAGACACGAACCCGGTTTACCAGATTACGAGTCTACCCTCTTAACCACTATACCACAGGTTAGGGCAGGCATAGGCAAACTCCGGCCCTCCAGATATTTGGGACTACAATTCTCATCATCCCTGACCACTGGTCCTGTTAGCTAGGGATGATGGGAATTGTAGTCCCTAACATCTGGAGGGCCGGAGTTTGCCTATGCCTGGGTTAGGGAGTGAAATTCAGAGATGGCACTGTTTACCATTAATTGTGGTGGCCTTCTTCCCCCACTCCCTTTGCTACCACATGTGCACCTTCAGCATATAATGAAAACTGTATGGTGAAGATGTCGGATGCATTTTTGGTGAGGTGTGAGTTTTACAATTTAGGGACTGCTGCAGAGCCTCCACCACCCTGAGCCTCTGCTGATCTTAACACCCAAGAGGGTCTGCAGATGGATTTGGCGTTGCCCTGGAGCGCTGTGGGGTAAAAGATGGTGGCTACTACAGTAAAATGGCCACTCCAAATGATGCTAGGTTCAGGTAGTTTGGAGAAAAGAAAATGGCAATGGGACCTGTGGAAGAAGTGTCCCATTTTAATTTGTTTTGTTAGTCTTGCCGCTGTTGCCAAAGGTAATGAAAAAGAGAAGACCACGATACTGCTGTTAATGCTGAGCTGTCCCATCCACCCAAATTTCCGTCCCCAAAATGTTTGCTGCTTATGAATGGGGTTGTGAGCTCAGGAGGTTATCTGGTCTTTGCTCTAGTCCTTTGTTTAAGTTGAGTGAAGCTGAGTTCTGGGTCTGAAAAGGTTAGTATTTTAGAACATAAAAATAATACTAGTAAGCTGTGATCTAGCAAGTTTTAAAAGTACTTTGCACACAGCATTTCAATCTCTACAACAGTCCTGTAAGGTGGGCTAATATTAACTTTATATAACCAATAGGAATGTGGGCCAGACACTGAAGATTAGAATCAGTGACTTGTCTTTTTCTTTTTTTAGTTACCTGAAGTAAGATTTAGATCAGGGATTTCCCCTCATGCAGCAGAGCTAACTTCCCCCCCTTTTCTATATAGGTTTATCATTCCCCATGGGACAGCTCATCACAAGCTTCAGAGACTCAGCAGCTTTTGACTTCTAAATCTCATAAGCTTAGTCATACAGATTTGTCCTGAAATGTATTTTACAGCATGTGGTGGTCCCTGCATTCCCACGTTGATCGTTGTGTTGCCCAGCCACTGCATCCTGGTGAAAGAAAGGGATCTATCTTACCTCAGTTTTCCTTGTGTCACATTGCAGGTCACAGACGTGAAAGCACAACTGGAAACAATGCAGAAGAGAGTCAAGGAACTGGAAAAAGAAAGGCACCAAATGCAGCAGGAGTGTAGAAGGCTGGAAGCCCTGACTACAAACAGCCTCCTACAGGAAATGGTAGGAAATTGTTGTTTTACTCTCACCAGGGTCGGAGTGGGGATTTTAGTATTCATTGGTCTTGTTAAAGTTATGTTTGCAGTTCAAAAATGACTTTTCTATAGTAGTAGAAAAGTTATCTAGCTGACAGTTTGTGTTACTCTTAGACAAAGAAAAAGAGAACAAATGCTTCTATAGATGCTATATGTACATTTATATATATATGCATCTATACTCATTAATGAGAAAGGTTTTCGGGGGTAAACTCTGAGGAAAAATCAATACCCACTGCCTTTCTTCGGAAGAAGAAAATGCTAAAGAGTAAACCCTACACAAGTCTGGAGTGGAGTCCCTAAGGCAGTTGGATGGTGTTTTGTATGCCTTCTTTTGGCAATTCCTGCAGCCAAGCTGGTGACAAATGTAATGCCCTGTTTTCCTTTGGACCTCATCAGCGAGGCCGAGAAGCAGACCTCCATATGCACTGCCCAGGCTTGCGCCCCAGAGAGGTCACTTTGGTGCTGCCAATGCAGCAAAAACAATTCAGGAGAAAGCAGTTACAAGTGTCTGCAGCCACAGCAGGTGCTGTGATTCTCCAGACTTCATCCCTGGAGAAGCACTCCATTGTCTCTCAAGACAGAAAAATGCCAATAGCAATGCATTTATATACGTTGAGCTATCACTTGGGTACAGTTTCAACCAACTGAAACTGTTATTAAACAGGAGCTTTGCAATCTCACTGAAGAAGAAGAAGAAGAAGAAGAAGAAGAAGAAGAAGAAGCAGCAACAACAGCGGTTAGAAATTAAACAGATAATTGTAAGAGCAAATAAGGACAAAGAAACAAGCATAGGATAAAACATGTGAATAAAATGCGAGATTGAACACTGATAATGGATGAATAAAAACTGATAATTAAAACAGATAAGAGCTAAGAAAAATAAAAAACACGCAGTTAAAACAACTGTAAGAGCATAAGGACTAGTTAAAGGACTATCGTTAAAACAACTACAGTATAAGAAATAAAACTTAAGGGGGTACAGGTCCTGCAATATGGACCTTCAGTTTAGGTCTGGTTTGTGACACAAACCATCCTTCGGTGAATATCCATCATGGCAGCGCAAAATCTAGCAACTGCGTATGTGACATCTGGGTTTTCATCCTGGAGCAGTAGGGAGATGTTAAGTTGTTCTGTATGTCCTGGGAATTTTTGCAATCTCACTGATCCCCCCCTCCCCAATGTTCTCTAAGTAGCATAGAACCAAACAGATGGAGGCTTTTGTAGGTCAATATCAGAGAGCTATTGTGCTCATGTTCTGCTTATGCGCTTCCCATAAGCATGTGCAAACAGAATGCTGCACTAGATGGACCTTTGATCTGATCCAACAGGGTTCTCCATAACTCCCCAAGGGCCATAAATTCAGAAATATGTGAAATTAAAATATTAGAATATAAGAAAATCTAATCTGCATGCTAAAATTTTGACTAAGTAGAGGTAGAAAAAGCATTTGCAGTGGAGAAGCCCTGTATATCAGTGGCCTTAGGAGGGACCATGGTCCATTGATGGAGTACATACTATGTATATGGGAGGTTCCAGATTTAGTCTCTGTTATTTCAAGTGTGGTCTGAAGGCACATGAAACCATCTTCTTGCTGAAGCTAAGCAGATCTGGGTCTAGTCAGTGTCTTGGACAGGTGACATGGGAATCACATGTATGTTAGCTTGGGTTGCATGATGAAAGAAAAACAGAAAATAAATGTAAGAAAATAAATCAAGTTGCACATGATGGGAAAGGACCCTTGCCTGAGACCCCGAAAAGCCACTGTCGGCCAGAGTTGGCAATACTGGACTATATGGACAAATGATCTAACTTCATCTAAATGTATCTTCCTCTTTTCTGGTTTTCAAAAACAAATTATTAATCTATTTTCTAGCAGATGATTGGTCTTTCAGACAGAGTGAAACTACCCTTTTTCTTACAGAATGTGGCACATTTGATGTTAGGCAGGTATCACTGGAGTGACTAAGACTGTTAGTTTCATTTATTTATAGCTCTTGACCTCGGAAGTCAGTTGACTTTTGAGACAACTGAAGTATTCTGTTTACATTTCAAGTTGGATAAAGTCTTAGGCTAAGCTGTCGTTGAAGCACAGCCAGTTTTACCATTAGGCAAAATGAGGGGTTCATCTCAAGCAACGGATTTTTGGTGTCATGAAAGGGCAGACAATTGGGGAAGAGCCACTTGTGAGATTCACCCATAACTTTTCATGCTGTGTTTTTACTTCCTCTTAACTGTCTGGACTTTGTGTCTGGAATTGTTCTTGTTTTAATTATGTTGTAACCTACCCTGGAATCATATGAAGAAGGGTGGCCAGAAATATTTCAAATAAATCTGGGGGAGGGGATCTCCTCCTGCTTTGCCCACCCCCAGTAAGTGCTGTCTGCTTTGAAACTGTAGGGTGGAAAAAATTCAAGATAAAATACAATTAAATCCCCCCCCCAAGATGTCATTCCTTTGGCTGGGGATTGTGGGGCTACTCTAGTGCTCCAACCATGACCTCTGCTGCCTCCTTGACAGACACATCGTCCAACAACAAGGCCTTCAGGGTGGTATTTATAGATGTGAAGGGGTAAGCTCTATATTTCTTCAGCTACCTCATGCAGTTTTATGACCTATATGTGCCACAGGAGAGCCCAAAAGGTAGTCAATAGAATTTCATCAGACTTTAGTGTATCTGGGATGAGCTATCCATCAATTTTGCTGCTGTTTTCTTTCCGAGAAGTTTGGCACGCTTCCTTGGAATAATAATAAAAAATACAGCACATCTGTCAGACCAAGAAAAAATGCAACCATCTGCACTTTATCAACAATCTATGTGTTTTTACATTCCAGAGAGACACAAAAATCCTAAAGGAAGAGAATAGACTTCTGAAAGAAGAAGCCTCCTTAGCAAATACAAAAAAGATTCATTATGAACGTGAAATAAGTCGGCTTAACAAGGTAAGGATATTCTTGTTTCAGAATATTTATCTCTTTGCTTTGAAATCTTTACCTGCTCAGGTAAAGAAGTTTATCCATTTGGCAGCTACTGATTGTAAAGTTGGTGAGCATTCTTTTTGTCACCTGCTGCACTAATAGCTTCTGAGAACACAAGTTAATAAAATTACACGAAAACATTATTTTCAAAGAGCATGCTTAAGGTGGCTGTCTTTATTTTAAAAGAAACACAGCCATGCAGGGCCCCGATCCTTATTATGCTGCTGGTCCAGATTGGGGGCTAGACCAGTACCCCACTGAAATTGATCCCTAATGCTATTTGCTCCCCCAGCTGCTGTTTGTAGGAAGTAGCACCTCCAGTGGCAAATAGCAGCTGTGCATTTGTGTATGAGATTTTTAAGGAGAAACCAGGTCAGGAAGAGGGAGTTTTTTTTGGTAGGGGAAAACATGTTTGAACCGAGCTTGTAGTTTGTCCCCCCTTCACTCTAGGTGATGTGAAGACTATTATAACAACAACCTACATTATTGCATGTTTACTCTGAGGAAACACCATTTGCATTGCCCTTCCCTGCTTCACACTTGATGTGAATGCTGGGGAACACAAACAGGAGAGAGCTGTTGTGTTAATGCATTTGCTTGTGGGTTCCCATGGACATCTGGTTGGCTTCTGTGAGACAGAATGCTGGACTTAAGTTTGGAGGAGATGGGGAACCTCCAAAATGCAACTCCCCAGCCCTCTAGATCTGGCTCTTGGGACACTGTCCAGATCATGTCTCCTCTCTCCAAGCCACACTTCTCTCTGGCTATGCTCCACACTCTCCTCGTGTCCTTGTGCCTGGCTGGATTGTTTCCTTGAATTGTACTCACCTTGATGGGGGATGGAGAGATGTCAGGTGTGTTTGTGTGTGTAGAAACCTGTGGCTTGTGTGTGGCTGGAATGTTGCCTACTATCCACTTTTGGCTCTGGCCCTGACCACCACTGGCATGCAGTCACTGGAAGGGAATGTGGTCCCTGAGCTGCAAGATGTTCTCAGCCCCTGAGAGAGGCTGATCCATCTGATCTTTTTATGTTCTAACTGATTTTGCATGATGCAACAAATGCTGTAAATATCTTAGAGTAGAAGTAGGGAATCTGTGGCCTTCCAGACATTGCCGCCTATTGTAGCTGTTTGGTAAAGTGCAACTAAATCCCCTTAGCTCCTACTTTTTATGTTTACTTTCTGAATGCCACAAATTCTGATTTAGATTTTATATCATATCATATCTACTAACCGTCATCTCAGTTCTCTGAACTGCCGTCCTTATGCAATCAAATGGTGGTGCGCTCACACAAGAGGCAGATTATCTGTATACTTGAAGTATACACATAATTTTTTTAAGCCCAAAGGGAAGAGGAGTGTGGGATGACTGCTGAAAGGGTGAAAACAAACAGAAAACTAGGGCATGGTGAGGGAATAAATAATATGGACTGGAATATTGAACAGGAACACTCAGTGCTGCAACATTTTGTTGCAAGCCCCCCATGTACAGTGGTACCTCTGGTTATGTACTTAATTTGTCCCAGAGGTCCGTTCTTAACCTGAAACTGTTCTTAACCTGAAGCAGCACTTTAGCTAATGGGGCCTCCTGCTGCCGCTGCGCCGCCGGAGCACAATTTCTGTTCTCATCCTGAAGCAAAGTTCTTAACTCGAGGTACTATTTCTGGGTTGGCAGAGTCTGTAACCTGAAGCGTATGTAACCTGAGGTACCACTGTATGTTATAGTTTAGCTGTACTTTTTTGCCTTGTACTCAGGAGGCTGTGTGCCAAAATGATGGTCTCCCCCTGCCTGTGTCTCTACCTCCCTTTCTCTCTCATGTACAAGAGAAATGGGATGATGTATGTCTCTCTTGATTATTTGGAGAATATGGCCCAGATCCAAATCTCCGCATCTTAAGCAGCTGGAACTAGGTGCACATAACCTACTTAGATACTCGGAACACCAAGAATAAGTTGTTTGGGGAAGGGAAAGCAGGAATAATAAATCCAGCCCCCCCCCCATCTTGAAACTATGATAGGCAGAATTAAAGTATTCAACAGGGGCTATGCATCACACCCCAGTTCTTGGAGCAGGGAAAGGAAAATCATACAAGCAGCAGCTGTTTGTACATGCAGATCCACACCAAGCTTCTGGCTGGATACTCCAGGTGTATATCCAGCTTCTAAAATGTTGCAAAGGAAGAATAGAAGGCCATTGCTGGAGAGGCATAAAGCATATTTCCACCAAGAGAGGCTGCATAAAGCAATGAGGGTATTTCCTTTTAACCCTATCTCCTGGTAAACCACGAACACTTCCTGAGGAAACACATTTCTCTGAAAAATAGCTCTATCTAGCTTTAAGCTAAGCGACAAAACACAAAACTTCAAGCATAAAAAAATACACTGTCATTAAAATAAAAACGTTAGGTCTGGTCCACTTGAATCCTGCAACTAATTACAGGTGGAGAAACAAAATGAAATGTCATTGGCTAGCATGCAAATAAATAATGACTTTCAGGAAGCATATTGTTGTTATTTACAACCCAAGATTTTTGAGTCATGACATAAATTGTGAGAATCTGAGGGTGGCAAAACCGCCAACAGTATTTTTCATTGCACACTAGTGGAAAGTTATAGAAAACACCTCAGCATTTACAGCTTAAATGCCTCCTCAACACCCAGATGTTTACCTATGGATATGATCACTTCAAGCTTTTAACTTGAATGCAAAACTCTCAGGTATCATGAATTGAGAAGTAATTGGGAACTACCAGTGTGGTGGAGCCATATGGTGGAGATGCTGTACCCTCAATGTCATTGTTGCCGCTTACAGTACAGTTGTACCTCGGGTTTACTTAATTCGTTCCAGAGGTCTGTTCTTAACCTGAAACTGTTCTTAACCTGAAGCACCACTTTAGCCAATGGAGCCTCCCGCTGCTGCCGCGTGCCCGGAGCACGATTTCTGTTCTCATCCTGAAGCAAAGTTCTTAACCTGAGGTACTATTTTTGGGTTAGCAGAGTCTGTAACCTGAAGCGTATGTAACCTGAAGCGTATGTAACCCGAGGTACCACTGTACTTGGATAGTGCAGGAAAATTAATTAATTAATTAATTAATTTTTCTATCCTGTCTTTACTCCAAGGAGCTCAAGGTGGCATACACAGTTCTCCTCCTTCCTATTTAATATTTGCAAGAAGGCTAGAGCACCGTCAGGCCAAGGTCACCCAGTGAGCTTCATTGTTGGGTGGGAATTCAAACCCTGGTCTCCAATTTCCTGGTTCAGTACTCTAACCACTACAGTGACTGACTAAAGAAGTGCTATAGGAACTTACTCAGTGTTACAATAAAATTATGTTTATATGGCCATATAAACATGTCTGCAAGAATCCATAGGGCAACTGATACATTTATAGCACAATCCTATACATGTCTGTTTATTTGTACTTCCCGGTAAGTTTAAATGTACTTCTTGATGTGCAATCCTGTGCACACTTACCTGGCCCACTGATTCCCAAATAGATGTCCAGGATTGTGCTGAAAGAATTACATGTTTCAAATGGCAAGGAGACTTAAAAAGGTAAAGGGACCCCTGACCGTTAGGTCCAGTTGCAGATGACTCTGGGGTTGTGGCGCTCATCTTGCTTTACTGGCCGAGAGAGCCGGTGTTTTATCTGCAGACAGCTTCCAGGTCATGAGGCCAGCATGACTAAGCTGCTTCTGGTGAACCAGAGCAGCGCACAGAAACACCGTTTACCTTCCCGCTGGAGCGGTACCTATTTATCTACTTGCACTTTGACTTGCTTTCGAACTGCTAGGTTGGCAGGAGCAGGGACCGAGCAACAGGAGTTCACCCTGTCGTGGGGATTCGAACTGCCGACCTTCTGATCGGCAAGCCCTAGGCTCAGTGGTTTAGACCACAGCTCCGCCCCCATCCCTTGGCAAGGAGGCTTAACATATGGCAAAAGAGAGATCTGGAAGTGGGGGAAACAACCCTCATCAAGAAGAAAAAATGACATAAGGTCATCTTTGGATAAGAGAGCCTTGAATACAGCACGCAAATGTATTGTCATCTCCACAGGTGTAAGCCACATGGTAACAAGAAAAGCCAAATGAGATCTCGTGCACATTTATTGCACGGTTAACAAAACATGTTGAAGTCAGGTTACGATTTGGAACCAATTAGAGGAACCCTTAAATGTAAATGCACTTTGAGTTTGTTAGAATGTAAGGGGCTTTTTGTTTTGCCTTAGTTCCATTCCTCCTCTCATTTGTGATTAGTTACAATAATATACCTTATTGAAAGCTATCAGTTTCTAAGTTACTTCTAATTTTGAGGAATTAGATAGCTAGGACTGCATTGCGTTGGCATCTGTCTGTCTCAAGAGGCAATGGAGTATATATCCAGGGGTGAAGTTAAACTGCTGTGTTAGCAGCCCAGGAGCGACCTCTCTAGGGCACAAAAACCTGGGCAGTGTGTATGGAGGCCCTGGGCTGCCCAGATGACAAGACCCTGCTCTTGGCTTCACTGATGTGGTCAAAAGGAAAACAGAGCAATATGTTTGGCACCAGCTTAGCTGCAGGAATTGTTGGGAGGAGGCGTACAAGCACCACCCACTCCAGGTTTGTGTAGGGTTTACTCCTCAGCCTTTTCTTCTTCTGAAGATATCCTGCAAGGCAGCAGAGGTTTCAGATTAGTTTTCCTTCTCCTAGATGGGCTACCTTTCCAGGTTGATGAGCTTCATCTGCCCAGCTAGGACTAGGAGCTTGGTCTTCTGATAACTTAGAGCACAATCCTAACCATGTCCACTCAGTGGGGTTGGGATTGCAGCCTAAATAGTACTGTTGCCTAATGTGATTTTAATGATATAATATGCTGGCCATATGTATGTGAGAGTTATTTTCTTTTATAGTTGCTATAAAGAATTACACAGTGTTCTATTTATCAGTTAAAGTCAGCATATCAGGGGCCGATGTATATACTTCACACTGCTGATTTTTCTTGGTTCAGGGCGTTCTGCTATGACCAGTTTCAAAATCAAATAAAAGCTTCTCTAAATACAGAGCAATCCTAAGTAGGGATGAGGAGAAATTCAATTCAGTTCATATTTAAAGCCTAATCTTTAGCCAATATTGCATAGAAGGGTGTGCTTAGTAGGGGAAATTCTCACAAAAGTGTTTCTTAACCTTTTTGAATTTGCCCTTCTCAATGGAGGGTGCAATCCCAAACACACTTACTGGGAGGAAAGTCCCACTGAACATAGTGGGACTTGCACCTAGGTAAACATGCATAGGACTGTACCATAGGACTCCCTTGTTGTGTGGGCTCCACTGCCATGACCAGCCCAACCACAATAAAGGGCTCTGCAGGCGAACGTGCTGAAATTCTAATATGCAGTTGGATGCAGCCTGGTGGGAGTCTTTGGACTTCGGTAATAATACTAATCTAACACTAAGTTTTAAAAAAAGCTAGAAAATGAGGTATTTGACTCCCTCAAAAAACTAGCATACATGGTTTCCCCTACAAAGAATCTTGGAAAATACAGCTCTCTGAGGAGTAAACTACACGTCACAGAATTCTTTTGGGGAAGCCATAAATACTAAAGTGGCATAAATTTGCCTTAAATATTCTAACACCTTTAGGTTGGGATAATGGGACTGGGGGCGGGGATTGATCCCACAGATGCACACATATCTTTGCTGTGTGTGTTGGGGATGATGGAAGCTGCCACTTTATTCAAGATATCATTTTCTCTTCGGGTGTCTTTGCACCTCCAAGGAATGGGGGGCTGCCGCCCAGTTTGAGAACTCCTCTTGTGACGCAGATTCCCCAACCTTTACTAGGGATTATAAATATGTTAGTTAGAAAGGCTAATGAAGATTGTACTGCTTAAAAAGCAATGATTTTTATGTAGTGAACTCCATGTGTAAAGTACTTTTTTTCTTTTCTTCCTTTTTGGCTACAGGCGCTTCAGGATGCCCTGAAAAATCAAGGTGCCCCCTTGCACGAGACTCCTGTAAATGCCCAGGATATGAACTGCAACCATGAAGAGATGAAAATGCAAATGGAAGTTCTCAGGCAACAGGTATGAATGGATTGCAGTAGCATTGTAATTCATTTAATTCTAAAGGTAGAACTCCTAGGTTTTAACATGAACATTTTATTCTGTGCATGAATTCCACAATGAGCTCAGAACCATTATAAATGAAGGTTGGCATTTTCAGTATAAAGTCTGATTTTCAGATGTAGCACTACCATTTATACTAGAAAACTTCAATAATAAACAGCTAGATCAGCTCACACATCCTCCCCAACTGGTTGATCTATATTTACATTTTGTTTTCATACTGCTATTTTAGTTGCAATACTCCTACTCAACTCACCTATCAAATGCCACCGATGGGAGTGGATAATCAAGACGCCACGTGCCCTTTCCCCATTTTTGTGAGACTACACGTTGCTCGTGAATCATGTTCTTCTTAGTGCAAGACTTTTCTTTAGTTCAATATTCTAAGTGGACAGATAAATTAAAAGCATATAAAGTGTCCCCAACTGGCTCAAATAAACTCCATTATCTGTGGAACGGAAGATTGATTTAATCAGTGTTGCAGAACCTCAGGGAAAGATGTGCTGCTACCTCTCTCTCTCTCTCTCTCTCTCTCTCTCTCTCTCTCTCTCCCTCCCCCCCCCCCCCCAGGTTTCCTTTTAGACAGGAACCCATCCGTTTAAAATTATGTTACTTTCCAGTTAACCTTAGGTTTTAAGTCTGTCATTCTGGACACTGTTAGAGTCAGTTGCTGAAATACAAATGTGTAGGATGGGAAGGCCGGTGGACTAAAATACTTGTTTCTGTCACGTTTGAAGGGCTGAGCCAGATTTTACTCTCATGTAATGCATGCCACATGTGGAAGGGTAAAGCCTTGAATTTGATTGTTCAATAATGGATTGTACACACAATAAAACAGAGGATATCATTCCCTCCCCCCTTCCCCCTATACTTCAGAGGGCACTTAAATCTAGAGTCTTTTTTTCTTTTTTGTATCATTTCATTTTATGCATCCGTTGAGACGCTGTGGAGTTCACACTGCATATTGGAGGACAGAAGGTTCCAATTCCATGTTATAAGGACATTTTGCACTACCTCCTTTAGTTTTCTAAGCCTCCTTCATGTCTTAAGCTTGCAGTAATTATAATAAGGGTTGTGGGGACGATATAATAAGGGGAACCAACAGCAGGGTCCATGGAGAGTTTTCCAGCCCCAGCTCCCCTCCTCCTACCTTATCGTATTTGTTTGTATGGAAAGGGTAGGAGAGGTCACAACCATTCCCCAAGACTCAAAAATAGAGGAAGCTTAGCCAACCACAAAGGACTCTACTCTTTCCCAAAGAGAACCAGGATGGAAGCCAGCTGTGTGAAAAAGCAGATAGCGTATGCCCACTGGCTGATCAGTATCAACTAAACATCTAGAGCAGATTATCTACTTGCTTTATGGCTTCGCCAGCCCTGAATTGCTTCCACACTGTAGCCATTTCTTCGTTCAATTATTACAAATAATTTGAGAAGTTATTGCCAATGTGATTTATACAATGTATTCCCTGTTACCCTCACCTCTTTTTAAATACCAGGTTGGTGGTGATTTTACTGCAGTTGCATCTCTATTCCTGAGCAGGAACGCTGTTCTAGGGAGTAGGTTCGGTTAAAGCAAATGCTTCTGGATAAACGTGTTTTTTATCTCCCTTTAAGGCTGCATTAACACATCTGTAGTGCCTGACTACTTTTCCATCTGGTGTGGGGAGAGACATTGCAGGATTGCTGAATACAGGAGTATACAGTCCTGTGTGAAACTACAGTTCTAATTCTGCTTCCAGAATTAATGTGGAAGAACCATGAACCAGCAGCGCCTGAGCGACATCAATACTATACTTTTAAAGCAATTCACAGCACAAATTTCCCCTCTCAAACAATCCTGGGAATTGTATTTTGTTAAGGGTGCTGGGAATGGTAGCTCTGTAAGGGATGCACGGTCTCTGTTTTGTGGTTGAAATTCAGAATTGACTAACTTTGGCTATAAGGTTCTGAAAGTGGTATTTCTAAACGCTGGGATTCTGAGCACATTAAGTAGAATTCCCTGGGAATGTACAAGATAGACTGCATGACTCATGGGGTTGATAATCCAGTAACTACAGACACTGGTGCATTATCACTTATCAGCATTTCCAGTAAGTGGTTGTTCATAATGATTTTTAATTGAAGTCTTCCTGACTACTCATGCACTAGCTGTCAGTGATTTGCTCCTTACAAGTACATACTCATGGGGGGAAAGATCATGACTGATGCAAGTCTATCTAGACACATAGACATTGACATCTTTTAATCTCTTTTTAGTTTACTGCTGAATTTAATATTATTATTATTTTATTTTTAATTACTTGGTTTTAACTATTGTATTGAATATTTCTGGTAGACTATTTGGAAGTTTTATTACAATTATTTAACTTTCATTAAATAAATAACAAGAGGAATTGTGTCAACCAACACCAACACCCACCCAGCCCTGCCAATAATGCCCGAAATGGCAAGTCCCCTGTAATACTTTAAATCAGTGGTTTTCAACCAGTGTGCCGTGCCACCCGGGGTGCCTTGAATGATGGTCAGGGCAATACCGGCCTCTGTCCCTCTTTCTTTCCCTCCCTCCTCTGATGCCCTCTCACAGAAAAAATGTAGTTGGTCAAGGGAGCCATGGACTCAAAAAAAGTTGAAAACCTCTGCTTTCAACTACAAGGAGACAGAACCCTTCATTGCATAATGGAGCACTTTACAAGAAGCACAGGTTTGGAGGGGTGAGGAAGCCCATTTTCAGCCACAGTCTGAAGGGAAGCAAGCAGTAGACCTATCTCTGAGCACCATTCCTATCTCTGAGCAGTGCAAGATTCCAGGCGATCCGGGCGCTTTTCCAGGGTTTGTGTTTCCTTCAGAATGAGGCACAGTCGAGAATGTATCTTTAGGATATATGATTCATTTACACATATACAACCTGAGTCTATGATGGAGAGATTCATAGCATTAGCACCCGTTTCTCCCATAGCTGTAACCTTGGATTCAAACAGAAATGAAACATTGCGCTCTCTCTCTCTCTCTCTCTCTCTCTCTCTCTCTCTCTCTCTTCCTAGTTTGTTGCTTTGCTTCTAGTTCACACCTCTCCAAACTCTGCTCTCAACTCTGTCCTTCTAACTATCCATTTACCATCTCACACAGATCTACTTCCTTTGTTCCCCTTAATGGCCCATCTCCCAGGCGATCACCTCACCAGGAAAGTAGCCTTGGCTTATATTTTAACACTTGCTGGATCCAGGGGTTTGAAGGGTCTCGGCATACAGCCTGCTCACCCCCCCCCTTGTGTTCTTCCCTGCCACCAGTTCTTAGCACAAACAGAGCAGCTGCTCTAAGAAAGTTTTTTGAGGGAGGAGTAGGGAAGGTGCTGTGCCAGGCATGGCTGGCTTCAGACTTGTTGAATCTACTTTCTGTTTTTACTGGAACTTCAGCAATAGCTATGTCAGGAACATGCAACAGACAGAATAAAAGAACAGGGTGACTCCTAGTGAAGTCTAAGCATAGGACTTTGTTTTCAGTACCAGAAATGAGCTGAACCCATACTCCTTTAACAAACAAATCCACATCCGGCTAGCTTTCTTCATTTCAGCAGCCTAATTTGAGTGGGAAAAGTAAATTTCTTGTTAAATAATTAGGTGTTGGAAACCCTTGTCAATCTACTGCAAATGACCCAAAGATAAAACAATCTAGTTCCAATCTATCTTTTGCCCACCTCTGCCCTGGACTGTCTCAGAGATTGCCACCTAAGGTGGTGTAGCTTAACACAGTGTATATATAGAAAGTGAGTGTGTAATCTGATAAACTGCCAGCAATTGTGTCAAGCCACAGTTGTCTTTCTTATAAGCATATATTTTGTAAAATATTTGCCACAGTCGGGCATGGATAGTTTTTTAATCAAATCTCATTCTCCAATGTGCTGTTGTTCTTCTTCCATCCAGAGTTACCGTATTTTTTGCTCTATAAGACGCACCAGACCACAAGACGCACCTAGTTTTTGGAGGAGGAAAACAAGAAAAAAAATATTCTGAATCTCAGAAGCCAGAACAGCAAGAGGGATCACTGTGCAGTGAAAGCAGCAATCCCTCTTGCTGTCCTGGCTTCTGGGATAGCTGCGCAGCCTGCATTCACTCCATAAGACACACACACATTTCCCCTTACTTTTTAGGAGGGAAAAAGTGAGTCTTATAGAGCCAAAAGTATGGTATTTAAAGATGTGTTGTGTTTTTCCTTTTAAAAAAAATCAAAGCCTTTCTGACTCTTAATATATGAGACAGTGAGTGTAGTCCTGAAATACTAAAATTAAAGGGTGATTTAGTGTTGACATAAATGGAATTCAAATTGTACCAGATGAGTTGAAATTTTACACTAATTACTTATCAATGGAATATAGTCATTTGAATTGCTAAACATTTTGTAATCATGCCTGCCTGAAGTTGCCAAAACTCTTTGTCCTGGAAAGTAGCTTTCTCTCTCTCTCCAGAGCTGAGAATTAACCTGTAGTTGTATGCATGTTTACCTGGGAGTAAGCTCCATTGAACACAATGAAGCTTACTTCTGAGTAAAAGTACATGATTGCTCTGTATATTACCATTTAATTTTGTTTGATGGATGGAACTAAAAGCCTGTGTAAGTAGAGGAAATTTATAGGAAAATACCAAATTGAAGCCAGAAATCCCTATAAACTTTCTGTGATTGTTAATTGTTATTAATTATGTGATTATGGATTCTCTTTGATTATTAATTCTTATATCCACACCAAATATAAAAATCATGTAAAATTCTGAGAGACCTCTGGGTATAGGGCGGTATATAAATTCAATAAATAAATTAGAGGGGAAGGTTTGTGAGAACAAATAACTTTTTTTAATTACCAAAATGTCAGAACCCACCATGACATTTCCTCTTAAAGCATTTTTCATGTAAATGGATAGACTTGCCTATTTTGTACCTTTTATAAAATTAAGATTTGGGGCATTGCCTCTACTGAATATATATTACATTATCCTCATTTGTAGGTTCAGATATATGAAGAAGACTTTAAAAAGGAAAGATCTGATAGAGAGAGACTTAATGAAGAAAAAGAAGCACTGCTGAGAATTAATGAGAGAATACAGTTTCAGTTGGACACCCTAAATTCTCAGGTATGAATAAAAACAAATGTATCATTGCCAAAACATGTGTATTTCCTCCTTGTTTTCTCGCTTTCCATTCAACCCAATTCTGGCTTCCGTTCTATTCTGGCTTCCGTTAATTGACACAGATTTTATATGAGGTCACCATCTGGGATGAAATCATTCTGGAGTAATGTTGGTGATGAAATGAGGAATAATTTGAAACCCACACCCTGAACACACACAAATACACACACACTAACTAAATGGAGTGACTTGTGACAAATGCAGTGCCTCATGAAATATTTTGTAACAAGTTCTTTTTTTGATCTCTTGTTTCTGATCCCAGATAGTTTCAAGGGAATTAAGCAGAATAACATTTTCTGGCTATTCTGTATGATTTCCGCAACTAAGGCTGCATCTTATATATGCTTGCCTAAGCTCCATTTGCATACAACAGAGTGAAAATGCATTTATTCATTTTATGAATTGCTTTCCACAAGGTAAAGGTAAAGGTACCCCTGACCATTAGGTCCAGTCACAGATGACTCTGGGGTTGCGGCACTCATCTCGCTTTATTGGCCGAGGGAGCCGGCGTACAGCTTCTGGGTCATGTGGCCAGCATGACTAAGCAGCTTCTAGCGAACCAGAGCAGCGCACGGAAACGCTGTTTACCTTCCCGCCAGAGCGGTACCTATTTATCTACTTGTACTTTGATGTGCTTTCAAACTGCTAGGTGGGCAGGAGCAGGGACTGAGCAATGGAAGCTCATCCCGTCGCAGGGATTTGAACTGCCGACCTTCTGATTGGCAAGCCCTAGGCTCTGTGGTTTAACCCACAGCGCCACCCGAGTCCCACAAGGTATCCTGAAGCAATTTACTATATAAATATCGCATAGGATTACTCCTCTAATCATCTGCATCTAAAGAGCTATAAGTGTCAGTCAACCCATGAATATATTTTGGAAGACTAAGTTCAAATCCTTGTTCTGCTAGGATCTCATTAGGTTAGGTCCTTGTATCCTTGAAGTGCTAGCGAGGAAACATGATAAGCTGAATTTGAATCCTGGCAAGATGGGGGTACTGTGGATGAGTGGTCTCTGTGCCCAAGAAATTAGTCAATTGCCTGCGCCCGACAGGATGGCACTCCTCCTAAAGGAGCAGGTATGAAGGCTGGGTGTGCTTCTGGATCCAGCTCTGTCACTGGAGGGCCAGGAAGCATCAGTGGCTAGAGATGCCCTTTACCAGCTCTGACTTATATGGCAGCTACAACTGCCTGGACCAGGAGAGCTTGACCACATCGGTCCAGGCATTGTTGACAAAATAGGATTACTGCAACGTATTTTATGTGGGGCTACCCTTGCACCTGCTCTGGAAGTTAGTGCCGTTAGTGCCGAATGCTGCAGCACAGCTGCTGGCAGGAGTGAGACCCAGTCTGCATATTACGCCTCTGCTCAGAGATCATCACTGGTTGCCCATTGGCTGCTGGGCCAAGTTCAAGGTGTTACTATTAGTATATAAAGCCCTTGACAGCTGGGGACCAGCTTACTTGCAGGATCACCTTACCCATAGGCGCCTGCTCGGCCACTTCTGTCTGTATAACTGTCACTATTACAAGTGCCACATAATACCTTTAATGTGGCAGCACCATATCCTTTGGAACTCCCTGTCTATTGGCATAAGATGGGCACCTTCACAGTATTCTTTTTGGTGCCTTCTTAAAACATTTTTGTTTAGGTAAGCCTTGTCAGTTTGCATTTCTTAGTGCAGAAAGTATTGATCTGATGTTTAGAGATCTTTCCTATTCTACTTGATTCAAGAGGGTTCTGGAAGCTTCTCTGTGTGAAAGAGATAAGCAGATGGTTTATAATGTTAGGCTATACCTTCAGAAAAGCTGGCTTAAACTGGCTTTGTTATCTTTTCTGTCATGGTCATGCTGACTATAAAAGTAGGGCCAGAAGGAGCCCGGGTTTCACTTTGTCTGTCTGCCTCTCTTTCCTTCTGGTGTGGAGTTCTGTACATAGTATGTATAGTGTTAAGGTTTAGTCTTATTATAAGTTAGTGTAAGTTTACGTTAAGTCTGCTGCAACTGGATTTCTTATAGATAGTGCCAGTCCTGAATGTATTGGATTTGTGGCCATTATGTTCATTTGCCTTCAGTAGCAGTAAAGCTCTGCTGGATGAAATACAATAGCCTCTGGTCTATTTTTGAGAATCCTGCAACGTGTTTAAGTTTTTACTTTGCTAACTATACATTGGAATCTATGCTGGATCAATATTGAGTAGAATTTCAATGACAAGCCTACCAAGACATGCAGAAGTTGCATATGATTTGTCTCTGTTGATTTTCATCATCTTTTGAATATTTTTAAATACCTGTTTTTAAATATATATTTTTAATCAATAATTTTATTTTATTTTTATTTTTGTAAATGGCTTAAGGGTTTTCTAGCAATCAAGTGGTATGTAAATTTGGTTAAATAAATCAAAAGTGTGCATGTGCCAATCACTAAGTCAATGTCGCCTTGTGGTTCCACTCTGTTTCTACCTCCATCTTGCGTCCTTGCTCATTAAGCATGTTATCCTTCTGCCGCCATGGTGCCTTCCTATAAAATCAGAACATTGTATTATCGTTGTAGAGATTGTATGGTGTGATTTGACATGCTTAACTGTTATATAAGTAATACATAAATGCAGTTATCAGGTTTGTTTGGGGCTCTTCTGGTCAACTTTTCTTGCAGGAATTGGAAAGGAAAGATCGAAATGTAATTCCTCACTTGTCACGTGTCTCAAATGAAGAAGGAGTGGCAAGTGAAACGGGTTGCAATGATGCAAGGAAGCTTAATATGGGACCATAGAGCGAACAACAAAATCTTATTGGCCAATTTTGTGAACTAAAACAGGATACCCAACCAATGCTTGTGCAACTATTTCCTAGAACTATTTATAAAGGAGACATATGGCATTCCTGGGCAGCTTGCACTATGATTTAACTGCCCTTTAAGTTTAGATTTCCCCCCACCCCCCAAAAAATATTTAGCCTAATCTTCATCAAGTGAATTCAGACCGGACTGTAAGAATAAATATGTTGTCCACAACAAGTCCAGTTGCTGGCAATGGCTGGCATAATTTGTGCCTTCTCATGAATGAGGGTTTGGGCTTTAACAAGCAAGAGACGTTCTGTTGGCATGACCCAAAACAATTTCCCTCACTGTTTCCCTCACCTTTGACTTTGGAGCATAAATCAATTGTCGCCTAATGAACCTGTTAACTTAGCTCACTAAACTTCCACAAGGGGGCATGAGAGTTCTTGATTTCAGCAATTGCTTTTTGATAACATACTTCTATGCATGCATGCACTTTTTCAGTATGAAATTAATTTCCCCTACACAGGTTAAAGACTGTCAGGAAGAAAGGGAACTACTTGAGAAGCAAGTAAAGCAACAGGTGTGTGTTGTACTTCAGATATGTTTTTTCTAGGAGGCTCAAATGACACACAGTTGCAATCCAACTGAACTAATTTTGCTAATGTGATGAACAAAGAATTTGTCTATAGGACTCAGTGCATGCCATGATTTTGTGCAAGTACAGGCAAAGTGCAAAATATGGTCCCAAGTTGAAGCTAATTTTTTGTTGAAGCTTAAAGGTTCCAGCTATTTTGGCTGCTTTGACAGAGTTGAATGTTAAGTGGACAATATCTGGTGAAATCTCTAAGTTAAAGGTGAACTCCATACAATTTCCAGTAGTCCAGGGAATGGCCTTATCCCTCACTATGACCATCCAAAGCAGATGATGTTGATTAAGTAAATTTATGCAAATAGGTTTTTGTGCCTAATGCATCCAGGTTAGATATTTTTTGCCATTTCTGGTGCTGTATTTTAATGTTTCATAGTGCAGCCGGCTGTAGTCCCATTACTGGCAAACTTGTTATCAGTCTTGTGTTGCTTACTTAGAACTAAGGATGCAACTACCTGAATAGAAAGGCATCAGCTACCAGTTGTACGCTGCAGCATCAAACCAGGAGTACAGGAAATACTAAGATGTTACTACTTTAATTGGGAAGTGTTCATTTTATTTTATTTATTTATTATTTCAATTTTTGTATAGGCAAGAGACCTCCAATCACTTACAGAAAAACATGGCTTCCCACATCAGATGTTTGTTCCTGCATGTTTTAGTTGCAGGAACTGTGGGTTACTTCACCCTTACCCTGAACCTCAAATAAAATTGGCTCCGTGCAGCATTCACAGAAAGCAGCAGCGCCCAGTAAGTAATACTTCTGCCAGTCTTCGTTTCACAAAGTGGAAACCAACATTGTACAATTACAAATGCAAGGATTCTGCAGGAGTAGAATAATATGTGCATTGTGAAATGTAAACACTCGCCTCTCTTTCTTGCCTTGTCATTTTGATTTTTCTCAGATAATTGTTTTTGTAACTCATAATGTACATATTCCCATCCTCTTTCAAATAGCTCACATCTCCTGCAGAGTATTTTTTTTAAAAAAACACCCTGTATTTTTTTTCTCTGACCACAGAACAAAATATATTTTACTGCATTCTTGGTATGCTTCAGGGCCCAATTCCAAGTAATAATCTTTAAAACCATTAATGAGTTGGGGCCACATTGGTTGAAGGATCACCTTCACCTATACAAACCTGCCTGTCCTTTGAGTTCAGCCCCTGAGGACCTGATTTTGTGTCCTTCAGTGAGAGCTATAGGGTTGACCCCACATCAATCTGTGGAATTCTATCCTAACTGAGACCCCATCAATTCAGGTCTTCAAATGAGTTCTGAATAACTTTGCTTTGAGTTGTTTTATCTTGGACTGATAACTGGGTTTTGATGTTTATAAACTGATTGTTCATTTGCTGGAAATAGTTTTAATTATTTTTATAGGCTAGTACCTAAAGTAATGTTAGCAAAAGTAGCATTGTCACTCACGCAGTCGCACACAAGCTGTCACAGTGTATAGTAACTCTAGCAGTTGTACACCACCTTGTGCAAGGGCAAGACACACATTAGATTTGACTGCTACACTGTGCTGAGATTGAGGCTCCTGCTAGGGGAATAATGGTTGTTCAAGCGGGTTGCCACAACTGCATTCCTTCACATTATGGGGAAGAATGCAACATGGATGGAGTTGCCATTATCTTATTTCTCCAGGACAATCTCTTGCATAAGCCACCATGGAAGTGAATGGAACCTGCCAAGGACCACACATACTTAAGCTTAGATAAAACAAGGAAAGAGCCATAGATAAGCAGAGCTTTTGTTTAAGTATTTTTCCTTCTGCTTCTCTTCTCTTATATGAGCTTGTGGGGGGAAGGAGTTTCTCACTAAAGTTTAAAACTGAGGCCCAATTAATTTTGGCCGCTGTCCTAGAGCTTTCACCATCTGGGTTTCTAGCTGTGCAATGCATCCTGGGGGTTTATAAATTTTGCCTTCCTTTAGAAGACTGCTGGAAGGGTGGAGTCCTTTGCTGATTGGTTGTTTTGAAATCTATTCCCAAGTCCTTTTGTGATTGTTTTCTTATATAAGTGTAGCTGGCTCCAGCAGGTTTTTATTTTTTATAAAAAAATAATAATTCCCAAGCTATTTGTCATCAAATGTGAAAGGTGTTAGAATTGAGTGAGTGTGTAGGCTCAGCGTATGGAATATAGTACAGATACTTTGTTATAGTTTGACTTTCTACTCCTTTCCCCCCCTAACTCACATTTACTGTTTACTTTTCAATCATCCTAGAAATTTTTTGTTTAGTCTGATTTTGAATCATGTCTCTTTATCCTTTGGAATACTTTCAAGAAAATTTGTGAAAATTATGTTAACTGCCTTGCAGTAGTGTTCACACGTTGTTGTTTGGGTCTCTGAGAATACATCATATGTTTGTAGTTGAGTATGGCTTATTTTACTAGGGAGTGTTTTGCATGTTTCATTGAATATTTATCCCATCCATGCCCTGATGTCTTTGGGTAGAGGCTTAAAATAAAAAGTTAAGAGATAAGATATTTAATATAATTTATAATACAAACTAAGTTAGATGGGCCATCTAGCCCGGCTCTGTTATATGATACCCTTTTGAAAATTAAGTTTAAGGTGCTTGTGTAACATGGTTTATTTGATAGCAAGCTGCTGGAATTCAGTGGTTTGCCATGTAGGTGGGACCACTTCTCCATGCCATTGCAAACATCCAAAAAGCAAGGTTGGATTTGACTCCATTTTTTCTCCTTGTAAAACATCTCAGTAAGGTCTCCTCCAGACAACCTGTTTATGGAGCATTCGTTCTGGGAAAAGCTGTGATTTGTTTAAATTATGGCTTGTCCAAAGAGATATCAAACCTTGGTTTCTGGCTTGTTTAGATATCCATAGTTAGAATTAACTGTGATTCTTGCCCAGTTCCCAGATGAAATGACAGCCTGCAGGTATTTTAGCATGGAAGCAGATGCTTCTGATCTTCCCATTGTGAGTGTGCTGGAGAAATGGGGAGAAGACTCATGCACATAATACTATGCTATACTTTAGCATTGCATTTGAACCAGGTCATAAAACTCCCAATCACTTAACTATTACATCAACAACCCAGTTATATTAACCATTATATCTGCAGCAGTGTTACCTAATGGTGGTTACTTCTCCATCCAGGAACTTGTCAGGGAACTGCCATCGGACGGAAGGGAGGTGAAAGGGCTCACACAGGTTGGGAGAGACTCAGCAGCTGAAGAGGGAACCAGTAGGGGGAGAGGAGCTGAGCTGAGGGAAAGTGAGCTGGAGGGATGGCTCAGAGACACTTCCAGCGAAAACAGTGGGGAGGTTTCAGGACCTCCTGTAGGGACACCCACTCCTCGCCGGAAACTGACACGCAGAGAGTCCAGAAGACGTGTTTCCGTTAAGGAGCTTTTATGTTGGAAGCGATTCCGAAAGCAACCACTGTCGGAATCTGCTAGTGACTAGAGGAGCCATGTCTGAGGGGCTCCGTCACAGACAGAGGTTTGTGGACTTGAACAAACTCTGAGGGGATACGATTTTACGCACAAGCAGCTCATCATCCCATCACAGCATTCCGACAGTCTTTGAAAGCAGCTTGTGCAGGAGAAGGCATCATGAGCAACCCAGCCGGAACCGGAGAAGCAGGAGCTGGAGCGGGTCCAAGCCTGGAAGAAAGGTACCGGGTGTTGGAGGTCCAGCTAGCGATGCAGACGGCGAGGCTTGAGGAGAGGAGGGCTCAGGATGCAGACAAAAAGGGGAAGCCACCCAGCTCGCCAGAAAGGTACCAGGATTGGTGCAGAAGTTTGGGGGGGAGCCCAAAGACTATCATGGCTTTCGGACAGAGATGCAATATGCCCTCAATCTGCAGTTTGATGAATTCCCTGACGAGGAATCACGAGTGGCTTTCGTGATTGAGCATCTTGAACAGGGGCGAGAGACTGGGTTAGACCCCTGATGGCAGCGAATAGTGACGTCCTAAAGGACACGATGAAGTTCTTTCGCGCCATGGATCTGATGTTTTCCAGCGATATTGAACAGGGAGTGGTGCGCAGACAGTTAATGGCTTGCAAACAGGGGGCCGATCTGTCCGTGAGTACTGGACTGAGTTCACCATGCTGGTTCACAGATTGGGGTGGGACTTATCGGCGGAACCCATTCAAATGCTCTTTGAAGAAGGGCTTTCTTCGGCTGTGAAAGACGAACTTTCCCGGGCGCCCAGGGCGGAGTCTATGGACCAGCTGACCAAATCAGCGCTGACCATAGGAGCGCGCCAGGAGGCGAGAGCATTGGAGAGGCGGGAAGGGAAAGGGGAACGTTGGAAGGAGTTCCGCATTCCAGACATTCCAGAGCCAACTTTCCCGCCGGCAGAGCCGATGGAAATCGGAACAGCGCGCGCGCGCAGTTTCAAAGCCCAGTGAGGGGGAAAGAAGGAGGGAAAAGGCGCCCGGAAATGCTATCTCTGCCAACAGCCAGGTCACTTTGCCAGAGTCTGCCCCCAGAGGAAGGAATGGCAAGGGATGGTAGGAGCTGTGGAGGGAAGAGAGGAAGGAATACCGGAGCAAGTAAAGCCAACGCCTGGCTGCCACTGTCGGGGCACAGCAGCCAGGCCAAAGAGCAGTGAGAGTGCCCACGCCAGAACCTCCTAAACCCGCCCTAGTGATAGAAGTGACGCTAGAGCTGCCAAACGGACACCCTCTAAAGATAAAGGCGCTGTTGGACTCAGGCAGCTCCTGCAATTTCATGAGCAAAGAGTTTGCAGCTGAACACCAGATACAGACGATCCCTTTAAGCAACCCCCTGCAGGTGACCACGATCGATGGCAGGGAGCTGTTGGGAGGAGAAGTCAGCTTGCAGACCGTCCCAATGATAATGAAGGTAGCAAGGCACACCGAACTGATAGCTTTTAATGTGGCCACCTTGGGAGGAGCTCCCATTATATTGGGGATGAGCTGGCTAGCGTTACATGATCCGCTGGTGGGCTGGCATCAGAGAGTGGTTTCTTTTGGTTCAGCACATTGCTTAGAACACTGCAAAGAGGGAAAGGGTTTGGCAGGGGCCCAAGCTACCCTAGCAGGGACTGAAGTAACGGAAAACGTGAAGGTACCACGACAATATGCAGATCTCCGTGACGTCTTCAGCGAAAGGGAAGCTGACCAACTACCCCGCATAGACCCTTTGACTGTCAAATCAATTTACTCCCTGGGGCACAGCTCCCTGTAGGCAAGCTGTACGCCATGTCAGACAGAGAGATGCAGGAGCTAAGAGAGTTCATTGACAAGAACCTGAAGAGAGGGTTCATCAGAGAGTCCAGGGCGGTGGGGGGCAGCCCAGTGTTTTGTGTGGATAACAAAACACGAACAAGCCGAGGCTGGTGTGTGACTTCAGGGCCTTAAATGCAGTGTCAGAACCAGTGGCCTTCCCTATGCCCAGGATTGACGACATTTTGACAAGGGTGCGGAAGGGAAAGATTTTCACAAAGCTGGACCTAAGGGGGGCGTACAACCTGGTACGAATAAGGAAGGGTGATGAATGGAAAACCACCATGTTCACCCCTTTAGGGGCATTTGAATATTTGGTTATGCCCTTCGGCCTCCAAGCAGGCTCCGCAACCTTTCAATCGTTTATGAACCACGTCCTGGGGCCTTTGCTTTACAAGAATTGTGTGGCCTTCTTAGACGACGTGTTGGTGTATTCTGAGAATGAGGAGCAGCATGTGAGAGACGTCAGAGAAGTGTTGAGCAGGCTGCAAGCCAACCAGCTGTGGGTGAAACTGGAGAAGTGTCAGTTTCATACCAAGGAGGTGGAATTCCTGGGGTATCGCCTGTCAGACAAGGGATTGGCCATGGATCCCGGCAAGGTCCAGGCGGTGCTGGAATGGAAAACACCCAAAACAAGGAAGGATGTGCAGAGGTTCCTAGGATTTGGGAACTTCTATCGTAAGTTCATCCGAAACTTTGCCCACCTGACGGCGCCCATTACGGACTGTCTCAGCAGTAAGAAGAAGTTCGTTTGGACTGAGGAGGCGGAGCGAGCATTTGAGGAACTAAAACGGGCCTTCGCCTCGGAACAACAACTCCTGCATGTGGATTTACAAAAACCGATGAGAGTGGAAACTGACGCATCAGACAGAGCGATTGGGGCGGTGCTTCTGCAGCCAGGGAAGGAGGAGTCAGAGTGGAGACCGTGTGCCTTTTTTCGCGAAAGCTGAACAAATCCGAGAGGAACTACACGGTGTATGACCGAGAACTACTAGCCATTCATGAGGCGTTCCGGAGATGGAGGCACCTGCTAATTGGCGCACAACATAAGGTGCAAGTGTGCACTGACCACAAGAACCTAGAGTATTGGAGGACGGCACGAGTGCTCAACCAACGGCAAGTGAGATGGGCCCAGGAGTTCTCCAAATTTAACTTTGAGATTTGTTACGTGCCAGGCCCAGAGAACATTAGGGCGGACGCTCTCTCACGCAAACCTGAATATTTGGATGGGGAGGGAGCACCCGAAGAGAGACATGTCATTCCAGAGGACCGCTGGGTGTGTGGGGCGGCATTGGTGGGACAAAGAGAACTGGTAGAGGAAACAGAGAATGATGAATACGCCCAGAATAAGCTCAGAGGTCTTAGGGGTGAGGGAGAGGAACCAGGGGTTTCGAGGAAAGAAATGGAGCTTTGTATTACAAAGGGGCACTGTATATCCCTGAAGGAGACTTAGGGGGGGGGTACTCAAGCAGTTGCACGACAGCCCTACGGCGGGGCATTTTGGACAACACAAAACCATGTGGTTGGTCACCAGGGAATTTTGGTGGCCCAAGGTGAGGGAAGATGTACGTGAGTATGTAAGAGGGTGCGAGCAATGCCAGCGAGCCAAAGGGGAAAGGCGGGCGCCGGCGGGGCTATTAGAACCCTTACCAACCCCAGAACGACCTTGGGAGGCAGTGTCGATAGATTTTATGACTGATCTGCCGAAGTCCAAAGGGAAAACAGCCATCATGGTGGTGGTGGACCTGCTAACAAAGATGTGCCACTTTGTAGCTTGCTCGCATGCAGTCACGGCGGAAGAGACAGCGAAGTTATTTGTAGAACACATTTTTAGGTTGCACGGGGTGCCATTGAGGGTGGTCTCAGACCGAGGAAAACAATTTACTTCCAGGTTCTGGAGGAAGCTCATGAGCTTACTGCAGGTGGAGGTCAATTTTCGACTGCCCGGCACCCTGAAACCAACGGGCAGGCGGAAAGAGCAAACGGTGTCCTCCAGCAATACCTGAGGTGTTATGTCAATGACAGAGAGAATGACTGGGTAGAAAAGTTGGCGCTGGCGGAATTTGCCTACAACAATGCCGAGAATGTGTCCACAGGGATGAGCCCCTTCTTGGCTAATTATGGGTGTCATCCCAGGGCTTTCCCAGGGGAGATGGGGAGAGATGGAGCGTCCCGGCAGCCGAGCATTTTGTAGAAGAAATGGAAGCAATCCATTGTCAGCTCCAACTCAACTTAGAAAGGGCGAAGGAAGAATACAAGAGGCAAGCAGACAAGAACCGAAGGGAAGGTGAAACCATAAGGGTGGGAGATAGGGTGTGGCTGTCAACCCAAGGGTTGCCGTTCAAAGGAGGGTGTAAGAAATTAAGACCCAGGAGGTTGGGTCCCTTTGAGGTCATTCAACAGGTCAACCCAGTGGCTTTCAGGCTCCGGTTACCCAACCACATGAAACTGCACCCAGTATTTCACAGGTCGTTACTGTCACCGTACGCAGGGGACGAGAAGGGATGGCCACTCGGGGACCGGTCATAGAAGAAAGAGAATGCAGCAGCCATGTGGCAGAAATCCTCGACGCCAGGTGGAAGGGGAATCAGGTGGAGTATTTGGTAGCGTGGGAAGGAGAACCGGAGTCAGAAAACACTTGGGTAATGGCCGAAGATATCAATGACGAGGTATTGATAGAAACGTTCCATCAAAGGTTCCCAAGGAAACCTCAGCCTGTGGAGAGGTTCCGGAGGGAATACTTTGGGACCACTGATGAGGAGGAGGAGTTGGAAGGCTTCCCGGACTCGGAAGGGGAAGGGGAGATGGACTCTGAGGAGGAGGAGTACTTCGAGACCAGGAACCGCAACAGGTGGAGAGAAGTGTTCGAGACATCGGAAGATGAAGGAAGTTCATTCCGGGGTTTTGCCTCCTCACCGCCCGTAGAGGAGGGGGCGAGAGGGGGTGAAGGGGGCCCTGGAGGGGAGGTGGATGTCAGGGAACTGCCATCGGACGGAAGGGAGGTGAAAGGGCTCACACAGGTTGGGAGAGACTCAGCAGCTGAAGAGGGAACCAGTAGGGGAGAGGAGCTGAGCTGAGGGAAAGTGAGCTGGAGGGATGGCTCAGAGACACTTCCAGCGAAAACAGTGGGGAGGTTTCAGGACCTCCTGTAGGGACACCCACTCCTCGCCGGAAACTGACACGCAGAGAGTCCAGAAGACGTGTTTCCGTTAAGGAGCTTTTATGTTGGAAGCGATTCCGAAAGCAACCACTGTCGGAATCTGCTAGTGACTAGAGGAGCCATGTCTGAGGGGCTCCGTCACAGACAGAGGTTTGTGGACTTGAACAAACTCTGAGGGGATACGATTTTACGCACAAGCAGCTCATCATCCCATCACAGAACTGAAACCATATTTAAACCATTGTTTCATGTTCTGGAGCCCTCGCCTTCCATAACCACAAAAATAGCACCACTGCAGGTGTCATCGTTTACAATAGTTAGAACCTAAGGGGAAACTGGTGTTCCATAAGAGAGAGAGGTGGGTCTTTTGTGGCCGGATCTTGATTGCCTAACCATGGTTAAGCAACCAGGAACATTCCGCCTAGCCCATCTCAAAAGAAGTTTCCTGCACAGGAGGAACTTTGTGTGTGGAATGCATCAAGTCCTGCATCAAGCTTTGGAAACATAAGTGTCAACACAGGGTTTCCCTGGCCTGTGAACTAGAGAAGAGCAGGGTGATTTACAATTTGGATTAAATGATTTGGATAAGGAAGTGCAGAGGAAGGATCAACTGCAATAATGACTTTCTTCTGTAAACAGATCAAGAATAGTGAAAGTATAATCCCAATAGCATCAGTTTTCCATTCTTTTTTCAGACGCCCAATATAGCAGGAGTAGGGAACCTGTGGCCCTCCAGATATTGTGGAACCACCAACTCTCATTTTAAAAATAAATAAAAATCTATTGAACGTGTATACTGCCCTCTACCCACAGGCCATCAGCCCTAGTCAGCATGGCCATTGGGATGATAGTAATTTACTCAGCAGCATCTAGAGGGCTGCAGGTCCCCAACCCTTGAACTACTGGAGCACTAAGGTGACATTTCAGCTGGCATGCTGTATTATTCTTATTTTTAATTTTGAAAATCTGCCTTACGAAAATTATTCCAGTTTTGTAATTAGGAGCTGACTGTCAAAATCTATAAGAATTTGTTTGAAATGTTGCATGTTTTTGTAAAAAGCTATTTTTTTTCTTATAATAATATTTCCCCCAAAAAAATCATTTTAAAGTTCAAACGCTGACCTGCTGCCATTAGAGTGGGAGATTAGAATTCTGTTTTGTGAGGTCACCAGGGTTTTAAAAGAATCCTAGCAAATTGCGAACAAGTTCCCTTTGGAACACGTTCACCTGTCATGTTGATGCACACCAGGTTTCTCTTAGCCTCTTAACAGCTGACATTGACTGTAGTTAGAGACCTAACTGTTTATGATAGAATCAGGTGCATTCCATCTCACCCTGTCTTCTCCTGCTCTGTTTCAAGGTTCATGAGGCTTTCGGAAATCTGGTTTGTTAATGTTAATAAAGTTTGTTTTGATTTGTGGTATCTAGGAGGTTTCACACAACTCTTTAATATTGTGCTCACCATCCAAAAGACACAGCAATAAAAAGAAAAAACAGCTGAAGAACTTAATCAGAAAAAAAATTATTTGATCAAAATAAGAAGGAGATTTTGGGGGTAAATTACTTTGGTATGACTAATGAAAGGCTTCACAGTATAATTATATTTACCATGCTGCTATTCTTTTGTTTGAAGTGTCTATGAAGTCCATATTGCTGTAATAATGTTTTATTGTTCTGCGCAGCCAGACTATCAATGGTATGTTCCCGACCGGTTTCCGCCAGATGTGCCGCACAAGGCAAATGGTAAGGCAACAGCTGTACTGAACACACTTTTTAAGAGTTTCTTTTTAATGGGGTCTCTCTCTCTCTCTCTCTCTCTCTCTCTCTCTCTCTCTCTCGTTGATCAGTAGTAAACTTTCATAAGTACCCAGTGTGTGATTTGTATACAGCTCTATTTTGTACAACTACAATACATGCATGCAGCCAAGGCTGTGAATTCTAAATATAATGTATTTGTGTATAGCTTTTGGTATTGCCAAGCTACTTTAAAACATCTAACATGCCTTAAAGAATCAAATAAATCCCTTACTGAACACCTAAGAAAAATGAAGGATATTGGAATTGCAGTCCTCCATTCATAACTTGGTTGACAGTTGAGCAAATGGTGCATCTAATATATGGTCTCTAAGGAGCTCAGTCTAGCCACTGTGGGTCTTTCCTCCAGGCAGTAGAGAGGATAGTGGGTGACATCAAATCTAGCTAAGACTTTGCTACCCTAACACTGCTACCATTCTGTCTTCACACCAAATAAGTTCAAAGGCCATGCAAGATAATTATTAGTCCACACACCTCAACTCTTCAGGTTTAAGGGACCCACGGATGATGTCATATCTGAGGGTCCCCCAAAATCCTGGAGAAAACGCTTTCCAGTATATCTTACCCAATTCTATTTGCCACATTTTCAAGTGCATAGCTGGTTCAGCCTCAGCTCAACCCTATAGAATAGGAACATGTTTTCCTTAGAAACACAGATCACTCTGGCTTCTCTTAGGCTAAGCTGAAGCTGCTGGGCAACTTAATTTGTTTGTTTGTTCATCAAGTAACTGTACAATTAGTTCTGAAGCGTTTTCACACTATCTTAATACATTTTCATCTCTGTTTGCACATTCCTTTCCTATTCTTTCCTGTTTGTTGTAAGCACCCCTGAAGAAGGAAAATGTTTTTGTTTCAGAGGCTGTATGGTAGAGGTGGGCAGAAGTAGAATTTGGTCCACCAATAAACCCTTGGCCACTTTATGGTAGGCCAGCTAATGCTTTCTGGTTTCTGGGATGCTTGCAAAGAATACTGAATTAGGTGGAGTTTAATCTTATACAGGAACGACTTACATTCTTAAACAAGAATTCAGGCTCTTTCAACATGGAGTATTAACAGTTAACGTGGGCTAGTTGCACATTAACTGATAAAAAAAATCCTAATCAGCATGGATTCCAGGTTCAGATGGAGCGGGGTGTGTGGCATGACACATGAGCAAGATTCTTCCAGTGGACTCTCCCCATAACAGGCCATCACCTGCTCACTACTGCTCATTTGCATGCCAGTCCTTCTTTACTTGGTATTGCCTCCCAGCAAAGCAAGCCCTACCATTTGGAGGAGGGTGGCAGCTGCATTAGGCTTCTGTTGGTCCATACAGTTAAAAGTAGAACATGCTAGACTGATAGTAACCCACCTCTTCTGTGAATGTGAAGGACATATTTTCCTATCCCTCATTCTATCAGAGCAGGAAGAAATGAAGGAAGCCTAAGCAACTGACATGGGCAGGACAAATGGATTTGCAGTTTGGGACATTTGTAGGCTTGTTGGGATACTACTGAACTAGTTGTGGGGTGGGGGGGTCTATCAGAGTCATTTAAGTCTGAGAATTGCAAAAGCAGGTTCCGTACTAGAAGGCACAAGAGGCATTTATTTTGAGTTGTTTATAGGACAGCAAATGGGGAGAGAAAATGGGATTAGAGCCATGCACAATTTTGTACTGCAGACATTAGATAGCCTTGGGATTGCCAGATCTCTCACTTTGATAATGGAAATCCAATTGTGAAGACTGCATGGCTAAAAGATACTGGAGCGCGATTCCTTATAGAGGCACAGACTGTCATGGAAAGGATGTCGGTGCAATACCCCAATGTGTAGATGGTTAGAAAGTGAAATTTTATGCACTTCCAAACCCTTCTGTGACCTTGTGCAAATGTATTTTGATGAGTCCCACTTGCTCAGAATTTTACAACAGTCCCTTGCAGATTGTTTCACAAATGAAGCATGAGATATCCAGAAAACTGCCTGTTGTTCTTAGAACTAAAGCTCCTTACAAGCCATGAATTGGTTAGCCATAAGATTGCTTGGTAAGCTCTCCATATGAAAACTCTGCAGCCCTTATAAGTACTTAATAACTTGAGAGTGTAAAGCTTAGCCTTGCTGAGCCAGCTAACCTAGGAGATCAAGTTGGCTGGCTGCATGCATTGAAGCCTTTAAGTGCTTAAAAGCTTCAGTTTATAAAGTTGTTGTGGTTTGGGGGGCCAGCTGTCCCCGGGGAAACACATGACTTTGACAAGGAAAAGCAATCTTCAGCTTTGGGAAAAGGCATTTGGAAAGTGCATGAAATTTCCTTCGATGTTTTGATTTGTTTACATGTTCAATCTGCAAATGAGAGCCTGAAGAAAGGAGAGAAAATCTTGGAATAAGTGACCAAGTCAATAAGTGTACTTATAGAAGGGTAGTTATTGTGGAATCTGTGATCCTAATGCATGCAGGTTTTTCACAACATTGGCAGCAAAATGGCAACTTGTATATCCTCCCTCCCCCAATTTAATCCAGATTTGCCCTGTCCATGAAAAACCCAGTATTTTAAAACAACAACACTCTGTTGCCAAAAAGCCATTTGCAATACACAAACAATCCATTTGCAATATTAAGCCTCCCTTTGAAAGCCCCCTTAGAATTGTTATCTCTGGCATACAGAGATGAACCAAGTTGTGAACAATCCAAAGGGGTGAGGAAAAGGGCTTAGGAGAAGTAAACAAGGAGTTCGGATTTGGAAAAGGGAACAACCTAGATTCAGCAACTTTTCAGGGCCACAATACACTAAACTTTTCACTTAGTATTTAAAATGGTTCATTGGAAATTACATTAGCAGGTGCAGAGGATGAGCAGGATCAGAACTTTCCTTTTCTCCCCTACTGTAGTCTCACTCCCTACCCCTTGACGCTGCTGTTAGTTTCTGAGAGGATGGTCTCACTGGTACCATTTGAATTTTCCTCCTGGAGGTACTACTACTATTATTTATTTATTATTACTTATTAAATTTTTATACCATCCTTCATCCGAAGATATCAGGGCAGTTCACAGCATAAAAATACAAAATAAAACCAGAAAATACATAATAAAAACAAGAACAAGAACAAAACAAACCAATAATGCATGCACCCAGACACATTTAAAAGGGCATAGAAGAGGAAAGTTTTCACTGGGCATCTAAAGATGTATAATGAAGGATCCAGCTGAATCTCCCTAGAGAGAGCATTGCACAAATGGGGAGCAACTGCAGAAAAGGCCCGTTCTTGTGTTACCACTCTCCGGACCTCTCATGGAGAAATCACAAGACAGGCCTCAGGTGGCTATTATTATCCTGGGATAGCTCAGCTGGTAATCTCAGGGCTGTGGGTTCGAGCCCTAAATTGTGCCAAAGATTCCTGCATTTCAGGGGGTTGGACTAGATGACCCTTGTGGTCCCTTCCAGCTCTACAGTTTTATGATTCTATTACGATTGCAGAGTCCAGGTTAATGTATACAGGATGAGGTGATTCTTGCAGTATTATCAGCTTTGGGGGAGGTGAATTTCACTGGGAATAAGTTGGGAAGGAAAGGTCTAACCCCACAAAGTCTCGTGCCATTGCACCCCTCCTCACACACTCCTCTTATGCAATACAACAGAAAACTAATTGCACTTGGCAAACCACAGTTTCCTGTTGCAACTGATCTTGGAAACTGTTTAATATTGGACTACAAACTACAACACGAAGCCAGCAGCTGATCACAATGTATGAAAAGAGGCAACATGTGCTGCCTACTGTCAGTCATTAATTTTGCATGATTTCCAAAAGTTTGTTCTTAAAACCTTTTTGAAAGAAGCATCTGAATGCTCATATGCAGCATACTGGTGGTAAATGCTGCATGAGTGAATAAGGCAGCAGTTCTTTCCCCTCTGCACAACAGTTTAAATCAAATTTAATCTTCATCTCTACTGCTCTCCTTGAGCAGTATAATCACTGAGGCGTCTAAACTCAGGTTTTGATGCATATTCTGTTTTCTTATCAGAAGCACACAAGGGGGCAGACTTCAAAATATTGCTAGGAATATGAGGAACATGATTTGAAAGAAGTGTGTGTGTCTGTGTGTTATCCATGCATGTATCAAGGTTTATTACTGTTCCACAGTGACAATTGCTGTGGCTAAAGAGGTATTTTGACTCTCTGCACTACTCATTTGGGCAAGGCGAGGCAGTACAACTCAGATCAGGATGGTGGCTAGAGAGGCAGGAACAGTCAAGCTAAGGTTTCATGTTAAGATATTATCAGTAGTTATCCATGTACTCAGCTCATGGCCCACTCGAAACAAGTGTTTTAATAAAATCCAGAAATTAAATACACATCCTCCCAGCAGAAAGTGTAGGAGTGAGCATTAGCTGTCTCCAGCTTTAGGCTATGGAGACAATTTAACAACCACTTAAAAGTTTTGTTTTTTTTTAAGCACCATTATTTCCTCCTCTTCTCTAATGATGCATGCTATCCACTTGCTGCCCTTCACATATGCAGGATATTAACTCAAAGGCATTCCCATGGCTTTGGGTAGCGGACGGTGTCATGCTATGGGGGTTCTTTTAAGGCATGCTGATGAATGCAAGCCATAAAACTGCTCTCCCTGGTCCATTCCCTTCATCTTCCTCCTGCCTTCCTACTTTAGGCTTCTGCGTCATAAAGAGACAACCCCAGGCACATCCTTTTGGCTAGGATGTGGGGGACAGGGTGTCTGTGTCACTCCCTTCTGATCCCTACAGCCTAGACAGTCTTTGCAAACAGCTGTGAGGAACTGGCTGCCTTCCATAGCAATCATGGGAGTGTCTGGACATTGTATATTTTTCCATTCTTTTACTATTTTTTTTTATTAGCATATAGTAGGGTGTTCTTATTCACCAGGCAGGGTTAGGGGAGAGATTTTGAACAGGAAATCTAGATATGTTGAAAGAGGTTTCCCCACTTGTTGTCTTCCACCTTTCCTGCAACAGTGTGTGAAATAAAGGCTGCATACATGCTACACTCAGGGATGCAGGTGGCACTGTGGATTAAACCATACAGCTTAGGATTTGCCGATCAGAAGGTCGGAGGTTCGAATCTCCGCGACAGGGTGAGCTCCCATTGCTTGGTCCCTGCTCCTGCCAACCTAGCAGTTTGAAAGCACGTCAAAGTGCAAGTAGATAAATAGGTAGCGCTCCAGCGGGAAGGTAAATGGCGTTTCCGTGCGCTGCTCCGGTTCGCCAGAAGCGGCTTAGTCATGCTGGTTACATGACCCGGAAGCTGTACGCCGGCTCCCTCGGCCAATAAAGCGAGATGAGCGCCGCAACCCCAGAGTCGGTCACGACTGGACCTAATGGTCAGGGGTCCCTTTACCTTTACCTTACATGCTACACATCTGAAGTACATGGCTTTTCCCCAACAATTCTGGGACCCACAAAGCTACAGTTCTCAGCACCCTTGACAAGCTATGGTTCCCAGGATTCTCTGGGGGAAGTATTGTGCTTTAAATGTGTGCTGCCTATGCAGCTGAAAAATAGAGAAATGTAGAGAAAGATCTATGGGATCTGTTTGTGGGTGAGAGAGGTGGGTTCAAACAAAGGGCAAAAGGATACTGGTATCATAAATGTGGTTTCTTTTGAGTCATGCTTACTTATAACTCTCACCCACTCTTTCCTTAGCCTGTATTATCCTTTCTGCACATATATTTTGCTGGGTACCAGATCTAAAAGTTAACTGACTTTCTTTTAGTCTAGCTAGTGATCATCCTTCCTTGACAATGGCTTCCTTTTTGGGGGAGGAGGCAAAGGATTCAGGAACAAAGGACAAGAGTATTCCAACTAGTGTTATGAGTGTCAGCTTATTTTGGCAGGTGGGATAGTATGATTTCCTTCCTTTTCCAACTGTGCAAAATTGACGAGACAGCTTAAAAATGGGGCTGGAGCTTTTCCCTGAACCTACTTTTAATAAAAAAAAATTCTCTGGGAAAGAGGTTTTATTGCTCAGGGCTTTCTTTGCATACTTGTGATTCTGGCAAGCAATGTCAGTTTTGCTTCCAAAAGTCCATTTAGTGGGGGGCATACAATAAGATTGGTTCCCCCAGCACTTGTATTTGGGAACCACAGTTATTCCATGAAAACCTTAATTCAATGACTGGGTGTCTTATTGCTAAATATTTGACTATGTGTCATATTTTTATTATTTAAGGCTAGTATATAGCTCACAGTGCGCAGATGAAGGGATACCACTAATCTCTCCTCTAAACATAGCTTTTCAAGGGCGTTAGTGACTTATTTCGCCTATACAAGCCTAGTGAGTTAGGAGTGGGATTACAAATGGGGAAAATCAGAAGAGCTAAGGAGCAGTTCTGACGTTGCAAATATATTATTTCAAGTGTGTAGCGGGACCTTTAAAGTTCACTCCAGCTGTCCTCTTACCAGATAACTTTTGTTCCATAGCTGGATTACATAATATAATATACATGTGCATGTATTTATTTCCACAGGTGAATTCTGATTCAAAATTCAGTAAAAGAATTTTGATTTTCTATTGTTAAGTTGAGGTGAAGAACGGAAGATCAACATAAGCCAACAGGATCTTCCTTCAAAATAAATATAGTGCATCCAAGAAGAGGCAATAAAGTTTGATCACAGGGCACCAAATCTGATCACATATTTTATTGTTGAGCCATGGCAGGAAAATACAATTCCTGGAATTGTAAGCAATAAAAACACTTCTCTTCCTAGTTCCAGAGATAGGGTCTACATGTGTCCCAGGGCAACTGCAGATACTGTCACTGATGTATTGGTGCAAGAGAAAAGTCACAATGCAGTATAGGAAGGATATTCAGGATGTGAAAGCAAAAAGAAGGGGTGGGAGGATTGCCCATAGACCATCATAGGGTTGGTTCAAATTTGTAGCAGGGATTAAAGAGATTTCAAAGGCCACATTGGATGCCTCTGATAAAGCACAAGCGTCTCCTTCCAGCACATCTGCTATTGAAGTTAGGTTGCCGGAAAGCTGATGAGGCTCTTTGTACATTATCTAACCTACAACAATAGAGTTGCAATGCACTCCTATCTTACCCTCCTGATTTTCATTAAACTTAGCTGGGACTAATTAGTTTTCTAGTCTCATTAGGCACAGCCTCCCAGCAGCTTCTGTAAAAAGAATCAAGATGAATGCCAAGCTCCTAATAGACAGCGGAGGGAGACTTGATCTATCCCTTGACATCATTAGTTATGATGGCAGCTTTCATTATGCTGTGGCCACAGTAGAGCTATGTCCTCCATACTGATTTATTGCTGTACATTGAACCAGAAGTGGGTGAATGGTACCTCAAAGAAGAGCCAACACCAAATTTCAGGGGCATATGCTTAAAGTCACTGTGGTTTCAAAACAGTCTCTTACTTGGTAGCACCCAGGGATGGCATTCTTGTTAGGCGGAGAGAGGCCACTGCCTCAGGCAGCAGATGCTAGAAGATGAGAAGGTGTTAGAAGATAGGACACACAGCTCTGTGTGGCTTACCTTGCACTCCTTCAGCTTGCCTGCTGCTGACAGGTGCTGCTGTCTTATCACCACTGTCAAAGAAAGACTGAGCTGCCAGTGTCAGTTTTCTGTATGTGGAATGGAAAGAAGGTGCCACCTTGTTCTTCTTCTGGGCAGCAAAATGACTTGGGCTGTACAAAGGGTAGACACACTTCTTGCTTAGCCACCAGGTTTTAATCCAAAGGAAGATTAGACTTTGGCCTTAGCTTTGCACACTGCTTTTCTTGACCATCACCCTCCTCATGGTGTTGGGGGCAAAGACAGCTGTCTGTGGGATATCCTTCACTGTGGAAATCCCCAGGGCATGAGGGCATGTGACATTGTCTGCTTCCTTGAAGCTAAAGCAAGTCTTGGTCTGGTCCATACCTGGATGAGAGGCCACCTGGGAATCCTAGGTGCACTACCTTTAATAGCATTATGGAAAAAGAGGTGGGATATAAATATAAATAAATAAAACCAAAGATAGTTCAATGTAAAGGGGTAAGTAGATTTTCAGATAAACTCAGGAACTATTTCCCAGCTCAGGTATCCATTTCTGCCTGAGGTAGCTATCCAGAGCCAGAATTGCACATGCCCTGATCTCACACCTTATCTCCTCCTAGATACTATTCCAGAGCCAAGAAACCCATGATCAGACCCTTTGAATCAAAATAGTTTAAAAACAACCATTAGTGAATGAGATAAACAACACAAAAAGGCTTGCTTGATACGTAAATCCATTATCTTTTCCACTGGTAAATCTACTTTTATTCCACCCATGTGTTTAAAACTGTACTTCCTTGAACACCACACTTTTTTGCATTCAGAAATAGCCTTGATGTAAGAGTCAAAGTTTTGCTGAAGGAAGTGCCTCAAAAAGCAAGCTCAACAATAAAAAATAACAACAGCACCCCCAGTTTAAACAGTAGTATGGTTTCAGAAAAGCAGCCTTCGGAATTGAATGTTCTAAGATTTATTAATTTCCTGTTTAACAGTTAATGGTCAAGGTGATTGTAAAAAGTTTCAAGTATAATGATTATCTGGTATGAGGATGCCTAGGGAAGATATCAAAGCATCTTTATACGAACATGTCTTTCTCTGGTTTGCATTGAAATTGCATATGGCATTGGTAATCCTGGTATTCTAGTAATATACTTCAAATTCCCAGATGTTAATGGGCTGTATTTTCCCCCGTTGATTTCATGAGGCATTCATTTAACATATGGAAAATCTTTGCCTTCTCATCCATTATCTGGAGAGGGGATACAAAATTAGTTCCATGCTATTTGTTCACTAATATAGATGCCACAACCTTGAAAGAGTTGAAGTTGTGAGTGTTTGAATTGCTTAACCTTTTAAATTGAAACAGTTGCAATTGCTGCTTAAGTAAAGACTAGCCTTTCCCCCATCGTTCTCTCATCTGTTTCTCACTTTGCCAGTGTTCCAAATGTATCTGGATCCGAGGACAGCAACAAAGATTTGCTGCAGCTAGGGATACTGTAGATCAAATGTCAATTTTGTTTTTTTCAGTTTTTTGGTAGGATCACTTTTCAATGTGAATTGAACTGAATATTTAAATTCTTCTCCCCTCCACAGTTGAAGCCTGATACTAATATCCTAAACACTTTTTTCAAGCAAGTCCCACTGAATTCAATGAGCCCTAATTCATGGTAGATATGTTTTTAGCATGGGAGCAGTACCTTCACTTGCAGCTGTGATCCTGTGCCAATCCTCCCTTCCCAGTCCTACTCTCTTAAAAATATACTTCAAAATAAGCCAGTACCAACTGGGTTCAAGTGAAACCAGACACTCTGAGGGCCAAGGAATCCATATATGCAGTACTCTAGTTTTCAACTGTCTTTAACTAAATGAGGGCTGTGCCGTTAAAGCTCTGAATACAGCCCTAGCAGTGGCGTGGCGTGGGGGGTGCAGGGGGGGCCGGCCGCACCGGGCGCAACAGCTGGGGGGGGCGCTCGCACTCGCAGCTCTCTAGTGGAAGAGACTCGAGTGCTAAAATCCACGGGTTAGGGGGCGCATATTACTTGCCTTGCCCTGGGTGCTGACAACCCACGCTACGCCACTGAGCCCTAGGAACAATTTTGCTTTTCAGGACTTGGTTCTAAGCCTGAAGCAATAAAGGCAATAAAGAGTATTTGCAAAATGTATTTCTCTCATCATGAAATAACTGATGGCTCTCTCTATACTAGGGGCACACACAACTCAATCACTTTTACATTTCTATTAACTCAGGAAGGTTGCATCACTACTTTAGATGAAAAGCCATTTTTCAATCCTCCTGGTTCTTTCCTCACTCACAGTGTGCTTCCCCTTCTGTCTCTGTGTCACTAGTGGATTCTCTGTACCCATTTCTCTTTTAACCTTTCCTCTTTTGTACTCCCCCTTTCTTAAAAAATGTGAACACTATCTTTCTTCTTCCTCTGTACTCCATAGAGCTCACCGTGTCTTCGGTCACGTCCAGATGTCATGATTATTGAGCATTTATTACCATTTGTTTGTGGGGAGTGTATACGTTGTTGCATCAAGCCATTGTTATCCCACATTTTTCAATGCTCTCCCACCACCCCATTCCTCATTGCAAAAAGTTCAATTCTGGGGGAAAGTGGGAGGTTTTTTGCACAAGAGTGCCAAATCAACTTCAATTATGCAACCTAAATTTGCTGGTATGTTTTTTGAATCAAATCCTAAAATAGTGACAGCCTGGAAGTGTTATTTATCTCTCCCATGTGTTGTGCTTGTGCTTCCTCCCCCACATCTACTCCCCTCCCCTCTACACAATCACTTTCTCTCTTTACTCCCTGCAGCACCATGCTTCTCTCTGCACCTCAGTCTACATTGCCCCTCTGTTTTCTCTTTCTGTATCCCATACTTTACTTCTATATCCCATAGAACCCCTTTTTCAGCTCCACCTTTCTGTTCCTTGTCTCTTTTGTGTCTGTCCCCTGCATCTGTACTGCTCCTTTCCAAGTTCAGCAGCAATGGCACATAAGGTGTCTACTTAACCATCTACACAATGAATGAAGTCTCCAGAATGCAAGTGAGCAAGTCATGCAATGTGACTAGTCTGCAACAGCCTAGAGGAATTAGTTAAATGTCTCTGGACAGGAGGAGCAATGTGGATGTACACTATTGATTCAGTAATTATCCCATTCCAATTCCCACTTTGAATGTGGTTTGGATAGGCCTTAGGTTTTGTTTGTATGCTAAGCTGGCACTGGTAAACACGTACTTTTATAACTGTTATTCACCTAAAAAATGCCATAGGTTATTAAGTGTTTCCTTTTCTGCCTCTGTCAATAGAAGCCTGGCAAACTGCCACCAATGGCTTGCATTGGACAGATCCATTTTGCTTGTGTGACATGGCTGTGGGATATTATTCATTTACGGCAGTGTTTCCTCATCCCTGGCTGATATAAGCAGCCACAATATATGAAATAAATGGACAATCCAACCAGGATTATGCAAGAGATTTCTGAGTTTCTAGCACAGGATTAACTCTGCTCCCAACTGTCTAATGTATCACAAACTGAGAAGAGGAGGGGGTGAAGGCACCAGTACAAGAAGCCTATCTAGCATGTAAGACTGTTGGAGTTTCTCTGAAGAAACTGGTCTCTTGACCCAAGATGCTTTGGGCTTTAAACAAACCAATATGCTCCTTTTTGAGACTTTGCTTTTTCATTTCATGATTGACTTAGTCTGGATTCGAGCCAATGTGTCCTTGTTTCTCTTTTTGGTTTATTTTAGAATATTAATGATTCCTATTGTTGTTGTTATAGCATAATATCAGTTTATTAATATTTTTTAGTCCTGGGGAAAAAAACCTCAGCTCAGGGTATACTTATTAAGACAGTGAAGCTGGAGAACTGAAGATGTCTAATTTTCTTTCACATATGTATCCATTTATTCATAGATGCCTCCTCAGAAAACGAAGGACCTCACTTGTACCATACGAAGAGAGCGAACCAAAGCAAAGACAAAGAACCATCCTGACATCGCCTGTAACTGCCGTTACATTTTCTTGTCCTATTGCACTCTGTTTTATATGATATACCATTATATAACATACACACAATGGGAGATTTCTATGACTGTGGCAAAAAGACAGATTCACTTCCAGCTATAGTTGTTGTTGTGGAAAGACTTTCTCCCCCCCCCCCCGCCCCCCCACCTTTCTTTTAAAATAGACTGTACCAAACCAGTTGCAACTGTTCAATTATAAATAAATGTCTGAAGGGTTTTAGGAAATGTGTGTGGTGTTATGGTGGTTTGCAAGAGCCAGTGTGGTGTAGTGGTTAAGAGCGATAGACTCGTAATCTGGGGAACCGGGTTCGTGTCTCGGCTCCTCCACATGCAGCTGCTGGGTGACCTTGGGCCAGTCACACTTCTCTGAAGTCTCTCAACCCCACTCACCTCACAGAGTGTTGTGGGGGAGGAAGGGAAAGGAGAATGTTAGCCGCTTTGAGACTCCTTTGGGTAGTGATAAAGCAGGATATCAAATCCAAACTCTTCTTCTTCTTCAAGGCAAAACGTTTGTATGCAGATCAAGGAGAGGGCAATTCTGCCCTTACCTTTGGGCACCAGAGGAGCTGTGAGGTATTGCAAGCAGAGTTGTGCATATAAAATGTGGCTAATGGGATGTTTGTTCCATCCACATGGAGCTTACTGTGTGGTCTATAACCCTGTATTTGGTCAGGGCTGACTGTAGTACCCCCCTCACTTCACGGTCACTCAGTGCCTAAAAGTAATGCAAATGGGGGTTCTTTTTTCTAAGTCGCCCAGAGTGGCTGGGGAAACTCAGCCAGATGGGTGGGGTATAAATAATAAATTATTATTATTATGTCACCCTTTATGTTGTAGATCTGCTTTAATAGTTAGATTCCTGCCCTGAGCTAGGGAGTCGGAGCAGATTACCTTTAAACTTCCTACTCACTGTAAGATTCTACGGTCACCACGTAGCAATCCAGCATTTTTGTGAGCAACCTGACTCACTGGCTGCTGCAACAAATGTTTGTATTTGGTTTTATTCGGTTGGGCTGCGTCTCAATCCCCATTTTTAGTTTAAGAATCATTTCGTCGTCATTCTGAATTCTACAGTGCATCTCTTTGAGTACATTAGTCTGCTAAACTGGCTTGCACAGTGTGTGATCCACCACTTTAAACATAGCCAACCAGACACGCACTGTTGCTTTGCTGGAGGATTAACAGTCTCTGTACTTAGGCAACCCTTTGCAGACAGAAGAACAAATGTGTTTCATAGAAGTCCTGCTGGGCCACCTTAGAGGGCTATTGGGCAGCAATTGATTTGGTGGGTCAGTAGCAATCCATCAACCATTTATAATGGTCAGTAGTCGTGTTGGGCTGTATTGATTGTGACAATACTTGCTGTGTCCTCAAGCCAATTATTCAGAACAGTCTCATCCATATCAGTATAGCTACTTGTAAGGTTCAATATTGCAATCTAAATACTCAATAATAACTTGTCTTCTATTGCCAGAATTAAAATCTATGGTTAAAAAAAGAGAGAACAAAAACGCACACACATCCTGAATTTGCTTGCATTTACACTGAATACAGATGGAAATCTGAATGTATGATACAGAATTAAAACCATATCGGTGATATGCGTGTATATGCATATACGTGTAAATGAAATATTTCTAGAATTACTGTAATATTTTGAGCTGAAGATTAAGGCCAGAACAGAGTTTGGCATGTTTAACCCCTGAAATGGTTTAAATGTGACTTAAGCACGCAAAACTGGGAGCTGGGATTGTGGCTCAGCTTAGCTTTACCCACTTTAATAACATTAAACATAATGTCCCCTGACATACAATTTGAGAACAAATGTAATGCACCTAAATGTAATTGCATTTTAAAATGTGAAAGAAATAAGCATGGCAGATGTTTGAGAAAATACTGCAGATTTTAATCTTCTTACAGCATTACCTTTCCTTCTCCTAAAGGGGTAGTCCTTGCCGGATTCTATCAGAGCTTAGACTTCTAGCGTAGTTGGTCTCAGACACTGTATTGGCCAGATAGCCATTGGACCACTTTATCAAATCAGGAATTTCTGTACGTCTGTATCTAACTTTATGCAGCAATATCCACCAACCGCCCTATAGTAGACTTGTTAGTCAGTTGTGGAAGACACATCTACTTTCCCTGTGTAGTATGTACTGGACATAATTGCCACTTTTTTTTTTTTTAAGTCATTTGGATTCCAGTTAATGGATGGAGATGGTAGCATTAAAAGAATCATCTTAAAGGATTAGGTGTGTTAAGTATTTGAGCCACAATGGAATACAATTCATGGTTAGGGATTTCTTTGCAATTAAACTGATTCCCTCAACAGCTTCATTTTTACATTCATATATCAAGGAGACAAATCACCCTGACCCTATCACACCGTATAATGGAACCTGTACAACAAGCCTTAAAACTTACAATTCTCCAGAGTATATATATATATATATATATATATTTGTGGAAGTCAAAACCACATTGCATGTTCAGCCGTGAGAGAATAATGTGAATTCCCTCTAAAGGAAGATGGGAAAGATTGGTCTCTATGCATGGGTTGGAAGTTGGCTTAAATAGCTACTATAGCAGCAGATAATTTAACTAGCAGGCAGTGTAACTGTGCTATTCCTGATTAGTGATTTGGCTAATAAGGGTGAGATCATGGAAAATGCTAATGCAGCGCCTTAGGAAAATCCAATTATAATGTAACCTAATTCAATTCAGGCTCTCAGCAGGTGACCAGTGTTTGTGGGAAGAGCACCCCAGACTCAGGATTGTCGTGAATGCACCAAACAGACAGGCCTCTGTGTATCCAATGTTAGACCCAACAAACCCCATTTCATTCCTTTCAACACTTCAGCTCAACTAATTATGAGGGTTTCGTCTTCCATTTGTGAAGCTTAACTCATTATCATTAGAGTTCATGAAAACAGAGATGAATATATGCCAGCTACTTGGAGGAAAAAGGGGAGGGGAGGAGAAATGCAGACATTTTTGCAGCCTCAGGGTGCTTTTCTTTTCTTAGTGTCAGCACCTGCCTTTTAATGTTTTGCTGCCAAACATCTGACCCAGCAAATATTTAGTCACCTAAATCCTACTGAGACAAATTGTGAGAAACTGGTGAGGTTGGAGTCATCAACGGGGGTAGGAGGGGACACACACACACACACACACACACACACACACACACACCCTCCATTATGGAATAATGCATTAATTGTATTTAGTTTTAACTCTACAGCTAAAGTAATGTAGCCAGAGCAGAGCATGTTTAAGGACTTCTTAGGGGAAAGGTATAGCTTAGTGGCAGAACATCTCCCAAATTCAACCCCTGGCATCTCCAAGGTGGGCTGGGAAGGAACTCTGCCTAAAACCTGAACAAGGTGAACCAGTGGTCTGACCCCACAGAAGGTGGATTCCTACTTTCCTATATTTGCCAATCCTGGTACCCTCCAGACTACAACTGGTGGGAGTTTCTGGAGGGCACTAGGTTGTCAAAGATTGCATTAATGAACACAGTTTGCCATATTTGTGTTTGTTTGTTTTTAAAGACAACATACTCTCTTTTTTAAAGTAACTGTACACCAAACATAATAGGTCATTTCTAGTCGCTGCGGGAACACTTTTAGCAATTAAGGATCCAGTTTTGACCTTCGTTTACAAATTTATAGCAACTCCATCTATATGGTTGCATCAAATGGTGTCTCTCCACTGCTTGAATAATTTTTGATCTAGCAGTCTTCCATACCACCTCTTACCTTGTGCTGAGAGGTCCTCCAGACCCCTAGAGATGCGGGGTTCAGGAGAGATGAGCATCAGCAAAAACTGCCTCCTTCCCAATTTCACTGATAGAAACCTTTGGAGAATCAAAGTGCCTTGTGTGAGTGGAGGGACAACTTTAGTCACCAGGCTCCTTGGCCACACCCACACCAAGCATTTAGAGCACTTTAACAGTCATGGCTTCTGCCAAATAAGCCTGGGAACTGTAGTTTACCCCTCAGCAGAGTTACAATTCTCATCACCCTTAAACTACATTTCCCAGGATTCTTTGGGAAAGGCCAGGTATGGTTTCCAATGGTATGGTGAGGATGTGACCTTAATTCAACAGACGTCACTAACATCACAAAGTCTTCTTAATAAATACAGTAAATCATTTTCCCAATATGAACCAATGGCTTGCTGGTCAACTTTTCCCCTTTACAGCATCCATTGCCTGCTCTGGGCTGCTTTCACTTGTTCTATAAACAGGGAACCCACAGGTTTTTTTGCTTTCAGGGCTGTATATCTGGCCAAGAGACCACATTGTGAAACATGAAATCAGGAAGGGAGGGCGTGGGGAATGAAGTGATTCTAGCTGTTTTTATATTTGCTCCTGGCTAAGGGTGTGAACAAGTATAATTTGTGGCAAAGCACCTTTTCTTTATGAAAGCTGTCTGTTGCAATATGAAATAAAGTTATGAGGTACTGAAAATATGGACCAGGTTTCTCAAACACTTCCAATTGCTCTCTTACTAGGTATTGTAAAAAGCGATTGTGCTGGTGTCATTTTCTCCAGCTAGTAGGGGAGGGTCATTTTGGAAGCATGCTGATGTGCATTTCGCTCTGACATTAGAATAACCTGCTAATATGGGCGATAATATTGTTGAAAGAAGTGTATATTTTTAAAAAATCAACACCCAAACTATAATGATATAAACTAAAAGTAGCAATTCCAGTGGTGTCTATAAAAATGTCTGGGCTAGTGGCCTATTGCAGAAACAGACACCCCCACCCCCAATTCCTGATGTCTTATGTTAAATCCAGAAAGTTCAGATGTTGTTATTTGCCTATACAGTGGTTACCTTCAAAGGTTGTTTAGTCGTTTTGTCGTGTCCGACTCTTCGTGACCCCATGGACCAGAACATGCCAGGCACTCCTGTCTTCCACTGCCTCCCGCAGTTTGGTCAAACTCATGTTAGCTTCAAGAACACTGTCCAACCATCTTGTCTTCTGTCGTCCCCTTCTCCTTGTGCCAACATCTTTCCCAACATCAGGGTCTTTTCCAGGGAGTCTTCTCTTCTCATGAGGTGGCCAAAGTACTGGAGCCTCAGCTTCACGATCTGTCCTTCCAGTGAGGACTCAGGGCTGATTTCCT